CTGAGAGTACTGTCACACTATGCCTGCCGTCGCATCATCCAGGTGGGGCTGCACACTGGTAGTGAAGGGGAGTCCCCACTACCTGTGAGTGGAGTCTCCGGAAAAGCGTTATATAAGGAATTTTTATTATTAACATTTACATCACTATTACTGATCGAGATCAAATGCACTGGGCAGCATATACTCCTGCTGAAACGTCTGTGTAAACATTACCGGATCAGATCAAATGTTCATTTAAGAGAGCTCAACTCAATCAGGTATTTATTTTTCAGTGGTGTAAAATACTCACTGGATCCATATGGATCTTTATGCAGTGCAGTGATGTCTATTGTTTAAGCCAGTGTAAACAATGAGTCCAGATTGCAACAGCAGAGTAGCTGTTGAGTGGTTTAAATACATTGTCATTCATTCATTAACTACTTCCTTTTCTGTGCTTGTCCTTTAACGGTATGATGTAATACACAATCACATGAGATTCCAATCTCTCTGAAGGCCAAGCCCTCAGGGTGACTCAAAGTTCATTCAGCTAGAGTGGCTTGTAAATGTAACACTGCTGATAAATATTTCAGAACATCTGATCATGATCAGGTATTGCAGTGGAGATACACCTATTAACACAGAGGTTAGACTGTTGTCTTCTCTCTAGCTTCAAGAAAACATCCTTCAAGTGAATTCAAACAAGTACCTCAAGCTCCAAAGGGAAACCAGGACCAAGAGACATAAACAGAAGCCCAAACAGATTCGAACAGGAACATATTTGGTGTTTATTTATAGCTCTGTAATAAGACTCAGCAGGAATTAAGTCCTATAATGTAGACCTGCAGGATGTACAGCCAAAACACAACCACCCACTTACAATGAATGCAAAACAGTCCTACATCCATGCATGAAATTGCAAAAAAGAAATTAATATAATACTTTATATTACAGCTTCACTGCACTGGACCCCTTGAAATGGGAGGAAATGTACCTTGTACGCCTGCAAAAGAGCCAGATGGTCACTGTTGGCTAAGGCGAACTCCAGCTTCTTCACATTGGCTTCCTCCCGTTTATCCCAGGGAGAGACCTAATTAAGAATAAACAACAGGGAAGTTCAAGCGACAGTGAGGTGGGGACATTGGAGACAAAAATGAAACAAAACCCTTTTTCTCTTCCTAAAAAAGGGGGATGGAATACCCAGTCCTATATAGGTTTTGACCTGTGCCCTCAATAACCACTAGTATTCAATAGAATTGAGTTGCAGTATTCGGGATTCTAAATAACTTGATTGGGAAAGAAATTGAAAGCAAATGTTAAGAAATCTTTTGATCTCATGGGGGCCGATCATTGACAATGAGCTGGAAATACTTCTCCCAGAACTCCAGACTGGACAATTCGGGTTTTCATAAAGGTCTGAAGGCCAGGAAAGAAAAGGAAAATCTGAAATATACATGCCTGCGTCTTAGGAATGACATTCTGAGTAGTTAGTAAGAGCATCACTGCTATGAGAGATCAGCCTGACTCTTATGCTTTTGACAAATGTAGAAAGAATCAGACCAAGAAATTGTAAAATTATGGGCATCGGAGAGTGAAAAGGTTTCATTACATGCTTTTTTTCTTCTTAAACGCTACAGTAAATGTCGCGTTTGGAGGCTTCAGTCTGCTGGACTTACGAAAGGGGATTTGAAGGCCAGGCTGGCAGCGATGGTCAGCGCTGGGTCCAGGCAGCGGAATATTGCACCGAACAGCATCAGTTTCCCGATCCTGACATCCACAGGCAGGCAGGCCAGATGGTACCCCAGGGGTGTCAGCTTCTCATCCAGGGTCAGGGCCCCCAAGTCCTGGAGCCGCTGCTTGGCCGCTTCGAGGCTGCCGGCCGCCGGGGGTTCGATCAGCTGGGAGAAGACCGACTCCAGCATGCGCTCCGCGAACAAGTCCAGAATTTTGATCCTTAAGAAAAGAGACGGACATTTTCAATGAAGCTTTAACCTTGGAACCCCGGCAAGGCCATTCTCAAGCCTCTGTGAGGAGCGGACCAGCTAAATTCAAGCAAGGTGACCTCCAACAGAGATGAAATAGTCACCTTTTGATCAGAACACAACATCTCCTGTTATGTTGATCAGAACAAACAAAAAAAGACAAACGTGAGCAGATCATTTGACCCGTATTGCTGATTTAGTTACCAATATCTTATTGAATCAGAGAGTTCCCGATGGTGACCCAAATGAGATAGTTAGGTGGCTTCTTCCAAACGCACATGTCTCTTTGCGCAAAGACATTCCTAAGGACAACTGCATCTGTAAAAACCTCAGGTTGCAAACGCGAGTCCTGGTGCTAAAACATCAACTAGGGCTGATTAGGAAATGTCAAAGAGACAAAACTGGCGGTTCCTGCTGTTCCGGCTTCTGACCTGAGGCACAGCTGCTCCAGAGGCACCCTCTGGATCTCCGGCAGCTGCTGCTCGGCCAGCTGGTGGTGGAAGCAGTGGCTGGTGAAGAGGTGGAAGCACACCCCCGACGCCACGCGCCCCGCCCTCCCTTTCCGCTGCAGGGCGTTCGCCCGCGACACCCACGAGTCCTCCAGGCTCTCCATGCTCTTGCTGGCGTCGTACCTGACAAACACCAGCAGAAAACAAGAGCATAAGCAACCGTCAAAATTAGCATCCGTCTGCACTGCACAGATTGGCTACACATCACAGTCAACGCAGCCCTTGGCTTGAAGGGCATCAATAAATCCTAGTGAAGGAGCCATAAACCTCTAGAAATAAACTTAGAAACGTGACGTTTTTTTCTGTTATGAAATGTGGAGGTGTACTGGAGTGTGATGCTTTGCCAAACAATAAAATTTACTTCACAGCCTGTAAGTTTCAGATCTGCTTTGTCTTTGTCTTTCTTTGACATATTTCAGTCAGATGGAGAGCGTTTTGCTCGTTTGACCCAGGGTTCGCCCTGTTTGCAGGCTGAAGATCAGGAGGCCCTTACCTCTTCTCCTTCATCTTCCCCGAGTCCACCACGTAGACAATGTCGTCGATGGTGACGGAAGTCTCCGCGATGTTGGTGGAGATGATGATCTTGGTCACGCCCTCCTGGGGCCGGTTAAAGACGGCCTGTTGCTCTTCGTTGGAAAGAGAGGAGTGGAGTGGGTATACAACGCACCTGGAAAAAGCAACATAAAAATAAAACCAATATCTTTTTGTAAGGAGTCCACGTGATCATTAGTTATTTCATATTGCTGTGCATTAGGATATTTTTAGTATGGGTACTTTTTTTAAACTCTTGTTCTTAATTGCCCATCCAAACTTTACAGTTGAAAAGAAATCTCCAAAGGTGACTGCGAATGAATTAGGTGGAAAATTACATGTGATGCACAGACTTTTATCAATGAAGCAACCAAAAGGAAATAATCCCCCTCATATTGCTGTAGATGTCCTGATATCTCTGCACCAGACACTGGGGTGTCACTCACAAGAATCAATCAAACAGCGCACAAATCCTGAGCGGGATTTTCACTGGGTGAAAATTCACATACGGTAAATTGCCTAACAAGTTCATCCAAGAACTTGAATTCTGTACCTCTTCTTATTCCTATTATTAAAAAGGCGGTTGGACTGCAGTTGTTCGTACAGCATCTTAATTTCTGCCAGTCCTGGTAGAAATACAAGGACAGCACCTGGAGAAAGAATAACAGTTCCATTACAGTGACAACCGAATTCTTGTTCATCAGCTGGAAACGTGCTAATGTATCTCTACCTATAACAAGGGAGACAAAACAAAACTAAGTAATTATAACTGTGTAGCCTGATCACCTGTGTAGCAGTAGGATTTTAAGAGAAAGTCAATGCAAACTTCAGTCCTTTTCCATGTCCAAGAACATCATTTATTATTTCTTTTGTTGTAGCATTATAGATTCTAGAGGACAGTAAACAGTTGTAGAAAAAGCTTTTGATGACGTTCCTCTTAAAAGATTCATTCTCAAATTACAGGGGAACAGTAGGCATTTAGAGTAGGGATTAGGGGCAATTGCTCAAATTGTTTTAATTAGAGCATAAATTTGTATAAGGACCATTACGTTTCCTATTTTATGTTTATGATCTAGATGAAAATAGTTTTCTTTAGTAAATTACTTAAGTTAATCGATGATACCAATACAGCAGACACCTGCAAACTAAAATCAAAATGTTTTAGAAAAAATCCCAGATTGAGCAAACTCCTAGAAGACGAGACTTAATGTAGACAAGGGCATCGTTTTACATGCTATTAAGAAATTAAGCTATTAGGAAAAAATAATATTATTACCTGGTGGATAATTATGCTTTCCATCCACTATCCATTCAAGTATGCTTTCGATCAAATCCATGTTAATTTTGTCCAGATCCATGCTGACGATGGTTTTAAGAACAGACTTCTGAACATCTTTTAAAAGAGAAAAAAAAAAAAGAAAACACCACCAGAGTGGCTCTGAAATTTCAACCTGTGACAACCATGTTAAAATACAGTGAAAACTGGGGGGAAAAACAAACCTGGAGGCATACGACGCTCAAAACTACCCCCATCTTGAACACGGCTATTTTCCGGGCCCAGGAATCTCGTTTCAGCTGGGCCAACGAGAGGGTCTTACCTTTGAACCGCACAGAGAGCTGCTGCAGGGTGAGCTGCTGGTCGGGAATGGAGTCCTTGACGAAGTCCGGCTTCTGGAAGTGCGTGAAGGACCACGTGTCCTCCTCCGGCTGCTCCACGGGCTGGCGCCGGCTGCTCCCCCTGCCCGGCTGGCCGGCCTGCTTCCCGGAGCGCGCGTAGGGGCTGCCGTCCTCCAGGACGAACCTGAGAGCGGGCGGACACGCACAGCGCTGGAGCACACGGCACGCACGGGCGCGCGGCGGCGCTCCGCTCCGTGTCGCCGTCACTGGACAGTGAAACCCAACACCAGGACACGGGACAAATACCGGGCCGAATGGGACCGGATTAGCCAAAAGACAACAAGGCTCCACGGCTGAAATGTTGTGTTTTTCTCCTCCATTCAGCACGGAATGAACTTTTACCTGTTCCACTGCAGCCTACGCATGCGGACACAGCTACAGCAACTTTAAAATTCATTCAGCATGTGTTTTCTGTCCAGCGAGACACTAAGATTACTGGAAACACTTAGATCACGATCACCCTGATCTTAATGTTCATCTTAAGCAGATGTGTGATCAGTATCCTTTTATCTTTGATTCATCTGGCAATTCATCTCGCTTTTTCTGCTGGGACAACCGGGTTAAGGTATCTGGAAAACAACCTCCGCCTCATAAAGAGATTCTTTTGCATATGAAAGATAATTAAGAGTAAAAAAATACGCTCAGGCAGCCTTTTCATCTTACCTTGTTTTGGCAATGGCATCTTCCAGGAAAAACTGGTCAACGGGGAAGGTACGTCCTGCAAGAGGATAAAAATAATGCTGATTCCAGCTCACAGTGGAAAACAAAAGGATGCCACACCTAGCATGAGATTTCGCAATGGGAAACGTTTAATGAGAGCAAAGGGACATCTTTGTCTTCTGATAAAGGTGTAGAGCCATTTATACAACGACAAAAGTAATTTTAATGCAACAACCAGACTTGGAAAGTTGATGTAACCCCTGCTCCTTAATGTTGCACTAATACCTTTAGTTGTAGAGCAATAGTTATAGAAGAGCAGTTTATTCTACTTTAACAAGCTAAATGGAATTGCTGACACAGTTATTTAGCAGTGGTTACACTACACCATTACAGTTTTAATTAAAAAAAATGGAATATTAAATCAAATTATTTTTAACAGTCATGGAAGGCTGTGAGTGATGCAATGAAAGCTCACACCGCGAGGCTACCTGGAATGTTGATGGTAGGACAGTTGTAGAAGTACTGGGAGAAGAGCTCGGCGTTGAGTGTGGCGCTCATCAGGATAATCTTCAGGTCCGGCCGCTGGATCATCAGGTCTTTCAAGACGAGCAGGAGGAAGTCGCTGCAAGGGAAGCCCACACTAAGTCACGTCTGTACAGACACAAGTGGAGGTTTAATTCCGGCAGACAGTCAACACGTTTTCAGCGGTGCAGCTTTCCGTTGCGTCTTGTATGCCTTTCTGCTTTTCAGAAGGGAATTAACCCCTCGTCAACAGGTGCCATTTTGCAACATCTTCCTGGCTGTACTGGACAGGCACACGCAGGAGGATTTGTACGGACACAGGCTGTTATAAAATCAGTTTGAAGTAGGCGTTGAGGTGGGGCAGTTTTAACACCCGGTGCTATGTTACAACATTCTGTACTGGCTTAGGGAACGCTACAGTGATACAGTTTAAATAATAATAATTACACTAATAATCAGTAAAAATAATCTTTACACTGATTAGCACTTTTTTTGGACACTCCACTCAAATTTACAGGTAATGGGGAATCACACTGCCGCCACCAGTGTGCAGCCCCACCTGGATGATGCGACGGCAGCCATAGTGTTCCAGTACACTCCCCACACACCAGCTCTCAGTGGGGAGGAGAGCAGAGTGATAAAGCCAATTCATAGATGGGGATTATTAGGAGGCCATGACTGGTAAAGGCCAATGGGAAATTTGGCCAGGACGCCGGGGTAACACCCCTACTCTTTTCAAGAAACATCCTGGGATTTTTAAAGACCACAGAGAGTCAGGATCTCAGTTTTACGTCTCATCCGAAGGACGGCGCCTTTTAACAGTATACTGTCCCCGTCACTCTACTGGGGCATTAGAGCCCACACAGACCGCAGAGTGAGCGCCCCCTACTGGCCCCACTAACGCTACTTCCAGCAGCAGCCTTAGGTTTTCCCAGGAGGGCTCCCATCCAGGTACTGGCCAGGCTGACACCTGCTGAGCTCCAGCGGGCTGTCAGTTATGAGCTGCAGGGTGATATGGCTGTCCTAGTAAAGTGTGGCCGATGAGGAGGCAGGGCGGGTGGTGATACCTCTCCTCCGTGCGCTCGTGCACCTCGTCCACGATGACGTGAGTGACGCCCCGCAGGTCGGCCTCCCCCTCCAGCCTCCTCAGCAGGACCCCCGTCGTGCAGTACAGCAGCCTGGTGGCCGAGGACTGAAATGACAGCAAGTGTTACAGGTGGCTGCGCCCGAACCTGCCAGGGGTGTAATTGCGATGCAAGAAAGACAAGGGGGGATCCCTAAACGCAAAATGCACCTAAATGGCTCACATGGGCCAAATCTTTACACGTTTAACTCCAGCATTTAACTAGTAATAGTTTACTTACTATCTGTCACAATGTGAAGTAGGGCAAAAAACTCTTAATGAGGACTGGATTGTTCAAACCCATCCTTACTGCAAACTCAAGCAGATGTGTGTGTTTGTGGTAAAGCAACAGAGCCCAATCATGAAGAACATAATTTATTCAGCTCCAGGTCTGTTTGCCCACAGGGGAAGCTGTTTCAACAGAGATTTAAACCAGCTTGATAATTGCTGCAGCCATTCACCCATTCACATGGATAGCTCTTCATTAAGGGCATCCCATCACGATCTGCACGAGAACGTTTCATCATTTATTCATTGAACTATTTATTAAAGAATAAGCAGGGGAAAGTTTACAATGAACAGTGAGACACAAAACAGGGACGGAAACGCCCTGGATGTGCATTTCAACCGGCCGAACAGCATTGCAAGGCTCTCTTGTGGTCCTGCGACACGTCACTGACCTTGACGCTCTCCAGTCGGATCTGGTAGCCCACGGTGAGTCCCAGCCTCTCTGCCCTCTCCTGGGCCACCCGCTCGGCGACCGAGATCGCGGAGATGCGGCGGGGCTGGGTACAGATGATGTTGGCTACTTTGCCGGCGGGGCCTTTCAGAGATGCATCCAGGATGAACTGAGGAATCTGAGTCGTTTTCCCACATCTGGCAAAAGAAATATAAGAAGGGTTACAAACGCACGTCTGTCTGGCTTTTCAGTGGTTTCTTGACTAAGGAACTGAAGTCATTCCTACAACCTTCCTCCAGCAAAGTGATCACGGTGTTCAGGTGATGTTTTTTATTTTTTCAAGTAAACGTTCGAAACCTCCAAGGTCCTAGCCGAGTCTCTTCTTTGGGTTATGGTGATACTGATACTTCTAACATCCATTTCTATACTAGAGGCAGATGTTGGTTACAAGTGCTTCGTTTTTTTGCTTCTAAAATTTAAAATTGCCAATTATTGTACATTCCCACCCAATTTGGAAGGGCCTTCTGTGGCTTTACATCTCAGCTCCCAGTGACAACCCCTGTTAAACTGTGTGGCAACAAACGGGGGGTTCAGAGATGACAGAGAGAGGGGGCGTATTCCTCACTGTCGTTAGCCTAAGCTTTGCAAGTCCATGGGATGTCAACAGAGCCCCGGCAGTGCTGAGCTAGCGGTGCATTGCTGCTTAGAGAATTCTGCTCACAGCTGCACAGCCCCAACTAGGAACATCTGGATCGTAGAGTTCTACCTGCACCCAGAGTGAGCTGCTTTATTGTCTGAGCCACTTGGAAGCCCCTAATGTCAAGTAAAGAAAATCTTACTCAATAAACATCTCAGTCTTACCCAGTCATCCCACTCACAACCAGCACTTGACATTCATTCAGAAGATGTAAGATGTTTTCTCTCTCCTGCCAGGCTGGAAGCTTCTGCCTCTGCTGTAACATGGAGAGAAAGCGCCTGGAGTTCTAAACACAAATGGAGGAAAAAGAGAAAGAGTTGTTTAAAGACAGAGCTCTTCGAATTGAGCAGATTTAACTGCAAGGGGTTGAAATGCAGAAATTAAAACAAACCTTTCAGAGAGGCACATAAACTGCTAAAACAAATTCCCGACACTAAACTGCACCGTCCCCAGTGGGTGGAGCTGTTTCACATGTCAATAACCCAATTGTGAACTCACAAATTGTTTTATACATTTAAACAGATAATCATAGGGACTTTCAGTGTCAACATTTCTCAAGCACCTGCTAGAGGTTGTGAATTTTCTGTCTCAGCTTAGTCAGCTAACTGCATAAGCATTTTGGCACAGTGCTGAGCTTTAATTCCCTACTCCACTGAATATCATCCTGTGACCCCTTACACACACAGTATTGTGTTAGTGGCAGTTTCTTATCCAGCTGTCAGTAAAGGGAGTACCTGCTTGCTCCTGAACTGCCTGCAGAGCTTGGCGTTTTCCTGCTGCGTGGACTCGGGTTTCCACTCGTGCCTCCTGGCGAGCTTCCTGAAGTTGACATAGCTGTCGTTCTCCACCGGGACCACCGGGGTCTCCTCCTCCTCCCCCTCCTCCTCCAGCTCCAGCTCCACGTGCTCCTTCTCGGGGTCCGGGTCCTTCACTGAAACACAGTTCATTATCCCACTTGTGCTCTTCCTCTTCCTCGTTCACACTCTGGCCGGTAAAATCACTCCCTTCACGACACTCTGAGCAGCCTGAACTCCATTTTTTTTCCCTAATAGGCTTTAGGACAGTAGTAAAAAGTTGTGGAAAGCCTAAATGTACAAGATGCTTATTTGAATACTTTTTCAACTGTTTCAACCACAAATGAGCAAATGTTTTTGTAATGCTTCATGTTTTACATTTAAATGGCACAATACCCTCCCCAGCAAAACCATTAAAAAGAAATTAACTGGAACGTTTCATGTGACAGATTAAAAAGTCCTGGCTTTTGATCTCCTTGAACAAAAGAAAAAAATCATGTATTTATACCTACGTGCATTTCAAGACCAAAATAAAAGTAAAATGTACACAGCAACTTAAAAAAACTCCACTTTACACAATAAAATATTCTAAATTTTCAGGTATGCACAGTGCCATACTCTGCGTTTCAGAACAAGGCAACAAAACTTCCAGTGACATGCTGCAGCCCTATTATATTGTAAAGAAGCAGGCTGGTGAATACATCTCTTTTGATCCAATAGAAATATTGCTCTCGACTTCTAGACGGTTTTGCTGATAAATGGAACTTGTTTACTCTGCACGCAGATCACGTTGGAAATTTTATGCAGTGAAATACCCGCTGCACAACCTGTATTTATGTGCTCGTCCATCACGTTACATCAGTCATTAGAGTGACTAGCGAGCAGGAAGGGCCGCATCACTTCGCGATTCGCACTAACTCTTGGTCTCGCCAAACCAGGGGTTTGTGACAACATGGCGACTTACAGCACGTTTACAAAGTTCACGACCTTGTACTTACTTTCAAATTTGTAAAACAATTTTATGTCGCCAATTAATTTATTTTGTTACTGAGATGTAATGACCTGTCTTAAAAAATTGGGACTGCAGTTCCCCTTTACTGGCTTATTTAGAGCATATGTTTTTTCTATTTCAGGCGCTGGTTGCTGAAGACTTATCTACACATTCAAGTTCTTACTTTCCAAGTGCTTGCTGATGCTGTTGGCGAGCAGGTCCAGGCTGGGCGCAGAGCTCCTGGCACTTCTGCTTTTGGCGGGAGGAGCCGCAGACACTACGGGAGAGGGCGCGCTGTACTTGTGGTGGCTGTTGGCGAGCAGCTCCTTCATCTTGGCCTCGTCCTCGCAGCAGGTCACCAGGGTGTACACCACAGGCTCCCCGCTCTCCGCCGCCACCAGCGCCTCCCCAAAGAGGTACTCGGACACATGCAGGCGGCCTGCGGGTGACACTTTCTCGTCGTTCGTGCTGAAGGCCACGACCGGAGCCTGGAAAGGATAGAGGTGGCCCGCGGGGAAGCGTATCTCAAGTTCGTACTCGGGGGGAGAGTAGCTGTCGATGCCCGGCTGGCTTGGGCCCACTGGCTTCTTGGCGCCGCCGGGCTCCGTCGGAAGCTGGTGCTTAAATCGGCACTTGTGGCCGAAGCGGCACCCCGCCCCTTTCAGGTAGAAGCGGCACACGTCCTTCAGCAGGACCGGGCCGCTGGCTTTGGCCGACGTCTGGTCCGGGCAGTCGCCGCCGGCCCACGCGAGGAAGTACGGCTCCAGGGCCACCGTCCAGACCCTGTCGCGGATCCTCTCGGTGAACCGCTCGCCGAATATGGAGGCCAGGGCCAGGGCCTCCTCCCGCCGCTGCGCCAGGCAGTCCTCCGCCGAGACGCCCCCGGCCCCCTTCGCGCCTCTGGCTCCCTCCCCGTATTTCTCCGTGGTCACCTGCCCCAGCAGGAGCTCCAGGGAGGCCCCGACCTCCCCTCCGCACGCCTCCAAGGTCAGCCTGCTGCGTCCGCGGTCGAACCCATACCTGCAGCAACGACAGCGGCTCGCAGCACTCACAAAAGAGCCCTGCGCCAGAACCAGGCACCCCACAGCACTCTCACACACGGCAGTCCTAGCGAATGAGACGAAGTGCGCTGTGGTTTGGAGGCGGGCCGAAGAGGTAACTAACATTCAGACCCACCAGCCCTTGTGACTCGTTAACCGTGCTCCACAAGACGTCAGAAGGAGAAGGTGTTTTCAAACGAAAGCAAAACAAAAGTGCGCCCACTGGGTGATTTGGTAGAAAAGGGCAGTTATATTTCACCTTATTGGATTGGCTGCCGACTACAAGAACCCATGCTACAGTTTACTCCCACCCTAAACTTGATGTTTGTTCATTCCAAGACACCAAATGAAAAAGCCTTGAATTTTAAATATTTGAACACTTTTTTCCATTCAATTATGAGTAGATCTCGATTTATGCTCTCTTGATTAGCGCATTTGTGTTTTAATCTGCCTCAATTATATATACCATTTCTTAATTTAGAGTTACAGACCTGTAATGGGGAGATACAGTACCTGCACAGCCTTCCAATGGCAAACAGAGAGACTGGAGCTTCAGCCACCTGGAGTTCTTCCTCAGAGTCGGGCTCAAACAAGGAGATCTCCTGGGAAGACCCTACGGGATCATCTGTGGTGCTCCAGAACTGACCTTCCTCACGATAGTCCAGATCATCATACTCCTCCTCCTCCTCCTCCTCGGTCTCTGAGTCTCTGTGAGATAGTTCAAAGACATGCACTGTGCACTAGTAATCCAGAATGTGGTCTCATCCATACTGTGCACTGTCTAATTGAAAGCTAAGGGAGAAATTGTCTAGGACCTATACTAGGAACATTGAAACAGCACTGTCATTACTAGAAAAGAAAAAGATGCATCTGTGCACTCTGCTTACTATTAATAATACTTCTGATACTTCTACAGTTCTAACAGCCTAAACAAGACTACACCATACCAGGGCTTGTCTGTTGAAAACTGTAGCTTTGAAGTAAATGAAGAGAATTTTGTCAATTTTCTCCTTATTCTGATGATTGTTTAGTTTCATTACATATAACACAAATGCAACAACAAAAGGTGATTTCACTTTGATGTACGGTGTGTAACCTTTGGTGTTAAACTGAGAGCCACTGTATAGCTGGGAAACAAGGAAAGCATGGAATCCAAGCTGTGTGCGTTGCAAAAGGCTTTGCGTCATTACAGCTGATGCCTTAATGCAGTGTCTGTGCAGTCTGACTAATCTGGACGTCCCGGATAAGAAAAGGAACATGGTGATGAAACAAGACTTACACGTCAGGCTCTTCAAAGTCTTGTGACTGCAGTTCGCGCAGCAGCTCTTTCACCCTGGCCTGGTTCTCCGAGGTCATGTGAATCGTCTGCATGGGCATCTGGGGCAGATCAGGCTTTGCTCTGGGCCTGCTGCCGACTTCGGGTCTAGGTCTGGGCTGGTCTGGCACGGACCTCCTGTTTGCCCTGCCCCTGCCAAAGCTACTGCCACTGGCCCCACCCCCACCCCGACCACTGCTCCCACCCCGACCACTGCCACCTCCTCGACCACTGCCGCCTCCTCGACCACCGCCGCCTCCTCGACCACCGCCAGCCCTGCCTCTGTGGAGAGAAACATCGCACATATGTGAGCAGACACAGATTTCCACACTTGCAGGGTCCAAGGACTGGGCTCAGTCATGCATTTGGCAAGATAAACAGTTGTCCTGTCTAGAAACGGAGCAGCAGGGAAGGACAGCAAACCAGACAGCCGTCAAATCAATGTATATTTGGAAATGTAAAACATGCAGGGAGACGTGAAAGGCAAACACTGTGTTAAGTATCAAACAATTACCCTTTTACTTAGCAACAAAATAAAATGGTTTTTTTCTCCAATGCCAACTATGGCAGAAAGATCAAGTATAACAGCAGGGCTAGAGAACATTTTGTGCTAAACCAGATTAGTCAACAGTGACCTGAAAAGCACCACTTTCATAGAGCTGGACATGTTTCTGAAGCACCTCAGAACGTTAATCTCCTACCTGGGATTTAATCCACTACTCTCCCTTTTAGAGCAAAGACTATTATTTGACACTGCTGCCAGAACAGTCCGTTGTGTATCTTATACACTGTAACTCATTGACATCGTTATCATCATCATCATAATTCCTTGCATTTCTATAGCACCTTCCATTCCAAAGGATCCCAAACTGCTTTACGTAAAATGCAGGAAGGCCATGCTCCGTCCCCAGTGAACTGCAATGGCCACTACTGTGATGTGCGACAGCTATTCTGCACAAGCAGCCCCACGACACAACAGATCAGGTAAAATAGAGAGAAACCGCCTAACCTACTGAATTACAGGGAGGCCACATTCCCCTTCCACAGTGGAATTGACCCAGGACCCTACGATTAGCACGCCAATCACTGAGAGCAGTGCCAAGGGATCATTCATGACCATGTAACCAGGGGCCTAGTTTAACCTCTCATCTGAAGTGAGGAAACCACAGTATCAGTCCCAGGACAGCGGGACACATAGAAAACCAACTTATCGGTCAGGGGAGATGGCAGTAAAAATTCTGTGAGGCTTTCTTTCCTTTAGACGCCACATGGCCGCCGCTCATGGTCTGTACCTTGCTGGGCGGCTTGGTCCAGAAAAAAGGACGAAGTCATCTCCGTCATCCCAGGCGCTGTCCGCCCCCTTCCTGGTGCCCCCGCCGCCCCGGGCGCCCCCGCCGCCGGACTTGTTGAACCGCCCCCCTCCACGGTTCGGTTTCCCCTTCCTCCTGCCGCTCATAGCCACCTTCTTCCTCGGAGATAAGAGAAAAACGGCAGGTCGGTCGCTTCTTCACAACACCGCGCTCTGGCAGAGAGGAGCCGCAGCAGTCATGCTTGACATTAACCAGATTGCAGCGGCAGCATAAAGCATTAAATCTGATGTCACAAACCTGAACCTAAACTGGGGAAAATGCATCCTTTATTTTACACGCTCAATGAGGAACAGCATGTTAACTGCTGCAGGAACATGAAATATATAAATACACTGTCAGTTTACTTTGTAGGCTGAAATATATCTGCATATATTTATACAGGAGAGGAAGATGCTCAATTCACATTTAGCCTTTGTATAGAATTACTTAAAAACATACAATTGATTCGCACATTGCTACGATGAAAAATGTATAGTTAAAACATGGTCGCACACTACAAATCTAAAGGCGAGGAACTCCGCAGTCAATATTGCGTTATTTCCCGTGACAAGCTTTTCTAAACACCAAGTATATTTTGGATTCCCATGGAAAATTAGCCCTTTTTCTATGTGACCTTTAGTCGAGTTGAATTGAAAATCGTATCTATTCGTCTTATAACGTCAACAACTCTTAGGTTTCATTTTCGTAGCACCCAACAGCCCACACACATATAGTGTTTAAAAGTGTAGAATCTTACGGGCCACCAGTTTCCTAATCTGAAGGATACAGTTAAGAGGATCGTTATCTGGCATCCCAACTCAATAATGTACACCTGGTATTCATTCATTCAGAAGAGAAAACGACAAAGAAAGTTGTGGCCTTACACCACAACACTCCCGGAATTTGACATATCCAACTGGTTCTTTCAATTCGAACTAAGTTTAATATTCATAAACAAATCAAACCCATAGGTTTTAACAGAAACGCGTACAATTTTATCAATTTAATTACAAACCTGACACAAGCTCTTTCCACCGGCACTTCAACAACAACCACCTCATTGGTTCGCAGTTTAGGGGTCAAAGCTTTACCTTCCGGGTCAGCTGTACTGTAACCATGGTGACGCTGGGCGTCCTGGAAGTTATGTGTGCTGCAACCTCTTAATACGCTCGCACCAGCTGACACAAGACAAACGAGTGTTAATGATTAAAAATGAACCAGTTTAGTGTATTTTAATGTAAACTTAACGCTGACTATTATTTTTTTCGCTATTGTTTCCGTTATTTGGTGGAAAACCTGTAGGGAATATCCGGTAAGTAAAGCATCGGACGAGTAAGGAAACAGTACTGTAGTGTATTTTTCACTTTTATATTGTTTTCTTTTCAAATTTATAACCGGAAAAAATATACTCATTGTTAGTTTTGAGTATACGTATACATACACTTACAAATGACAAATTTACAGTATGTTCCTGAGATAGTTTAGCATGCATCTTTAACGGAGCGCAAATCGGTCACATAAGTGAAGAAAATGGGAAGATGACTCATAACTAAACACAAAATAAGGCAAATCACTATAGATATACCCATACAACAGTGATCGTTTTACCGCTGCGCTTAAAGAAAATGCAGTTAAGCGGCAGCCCGAACGCATTTGTACAATTTGGGTTGATCACTAAAATTATCATTCTTTTTTCACAGGGATGCAAAACCAAAACTCGGAACACAAAGGTGTGAGAATCGCTTTAAAATACCATAGTATTTAAATTACTTTAAAATAATGTAGTTAGCGCAGTACCTGTACTTATTTTCACCATTTCCTGTCCGTTTTATTCTTGTGCAGAAACTGGAGTGTTGACTGTCTCCTACGTTTTTCCAAATGGAGACAAATACGGTGAGTTGTTAAATTTGTGGAAGGAAGATTCCTCACTGATTAAAATATCAAAAGCCCCCCCCCCCGTCGGATCAGTACGCTCTCCCTGTAGCGGGCAGCGAATGGCCTATGGGACACGTTCTTTCTCCTCAGCCGGAACAATTCTCATACTGTATCTCAATCCTGTTGAAAACCGGTGGAAGAAGAGAAACGTGCAGTCCAGTCTCGCAAACATTCATCCTCATGACTGTCGCAACGAGGAAGTCTTATTGGTGGGATTGCGCATTCTGTTCTTCCTACGTGTGGAGTCCCACAAGCAAACAACAGTTCACAGTACTCTATACTTGAATAAGGTTTTATCTCTGAGCTGTATAACTGTTGATGTTCATATTTCTCCCAGCAAGTGCATTTTCCTAACAGAAAAACGCGCTGGAGGTAAATAGAAATCTCGTGTCTTTAGATGGCGAGTGCTGTAAAACCTCAGAAGGCGTTGTGATGAGAAGTGGTATTGGCAAGCACACAGCAGCAAATGGAGTGATTTATACAGGACAGTGGAAAGATGATGAGGTAATCAAGATCTGTCATTTTTAATCATGACAGCATGGATCCCCTTAGTGCAGGGTACACTCTGTTTTGTCATTTGGAGTTTGGAGTATTTACTGGATCTTGGGTACAAGGTAGAATATTGATTCACATGAGACAAACCTGGGCCTCCAGTATATGTAAAGTAATGTCCGATATAGAAACTATTGATATTTCGTAGAACCATTATGGTTTTATTCCACACAGAGAACTGTTATCTCAATGTATTGTCATTGAAATACTTTTGTCATGTTGTGGCACGGGGACCTTTAACCTTTGTAGGGGTTTAGGGTAGCACTGTATAATGGTGTCCAGCTGATAAAATTCTGTTCCTTTTGGGTTGTCATGATCTTTAGATGAATGGCAAGGGGAAGCTGGAGCATCCCTCAGGAGCTTTTTGTGAAGGGGAATTTAAAAACAACATGTTCCACGGAAGAGGAACTTACACTTTCCAGAATGGAACAAAATACACAGGGACCTTTGATGAGAATAAGTAAGTATAAAATACAGATTGCGTGAATGAAAAAAAAAACCATAAGATCTGCACCAGTAATTTTATATGCACGTTTCAGGGCCTTGTCCCTTTGGCTAAGAGTATTTGATAAGTGACTTAATTATCATTATTATGGGTATTGAAGAATTTAAAGCTAAATCACAAGAATGGTTTCCTAAACAGAATTTGCAGTACCCCTGTGATTACGTCTTTGACCTCAGGTTCTTTTTGATTTCAGGTTAGAAGGTGAAGGACAGTTTACAGATTCTCGAGGACTTGTGTGGATGGGAAACTTCCATTACAAAGCAGCCCCTGGCTTGAAGCTGAAACTGGATACACTTTCTTAATACATTCTGAAGAAGTGATGCTGTATATTGTGTAATTGTACATTAACACTGTAACTTAGAAATCTGTGAAAACTAACCAAGTGGAGTCAGTTGTTTTAGCTTATTATGAGCTAAATATTTATGTGACTTTATGAATTTGATCATAAAACAATACATTGTTTCATCCAGTAAAATATATAATGGAATGTCATTCAGTAATATTAGGATTGCTAGCTTGTATTATCTCAACACAGAGCTTGAAAATGAACCAGCACAGAAATGTGAACCTGGTCTTTCTGGCTCAATGATGTATTGTGCCTGCCATCTGGTATTTACACAGTGTTTTGTTGAGATGCAGTTGCATAACCAAATAAGCTGCGTTTCTTCAAGCCTTTTCAGCGAATTTATGGATCTTTAGCAGGAGCCTTTTGATCTTAAAGCAGTCTTCATGTCTGACTCCTGGCAGTGTGAAAACATCTTACGCAGTGAATTCTTGGTGATTTCGCCTGCACGTCCATGACCAGCTAGTATTTCATATTATTCTTTTTTCTTTGGAAAAAGCAATTAGAATTTTAATTAGCAATGCATTTGAGTTAATCTCCCCCATTTCTCTGTTTATTTATTCAATTAAAGATGAGATTTATTAAGAAAACATCGCGAGAGGACTGCACTTCATACTAAAAGTGCGTTATGTGAACAGGACCATCCTTGCATGTTGTCATGGAACAGGACAGTGTTTACCAAAGTGGATTGATTTGTGGGAACGATGTGACCTTCGCTGAAACACAAACCTCTTGTTCAGGTTTTAACTAGCTTTTATTCATGATCCTACAGTGCTGCTAAAGACTGGGCACAAGGCTCAAACTTGTGACACTGGTAATAAGACAAATGATGTAAGTGGCAGCATAAGATTGTTTCCTGTTTTGTTGGAGGGTGTCCAGCATAGGAAGGAGCCCCAAGTTAACTCCAAGAGCACAGGAGACAAAAGGTGTGCAGATGGAAAGAAATGTCCTCATTGAGTAAAGCTACATTTCTCTACAGAGGTGCACTGACAGAGAATCGTGATGTACAGTATATGACTCTGGTTCCAAGTGTACTTGTACATTTAAAAACCTCTATCATGCCATTGAAAGGATCACATCCACTAGACTCGTTCTAGACTGACACAAAGCTCTAAATTAATAATAGTATTGTCTAATAGTACAAGGTCTAAATTATTATGATTATTATTATATGCATCAGATAAACAGGTTTGTTTTAGTCTTTCTGCATTTAGAATTTAACGTAACAGATCTCTTCTTTGACCCTCATCCTCACTGAGTGAAAGGTTACTTTTCTGCCATTTACTGTTAATAATGTATAAATCAGTTTCATAAGGTCTGTTAATTTTCAATTGGTATCTCCAATCTATAACAGCCACTTATCATCTTTAAAAGTTTAAAATGAAAATGACCTGTTATCGATTCCAGCCAGAAGGCTTCTGAAAAGACCACCCGCAGGTACTTCAGAGTAAATGTAGTGTGGAAGTAAATTCCTATTGTGCCCCTTAGTAGGGCAGTATACTCTGCACATTACTGCTCCCACCTTGCTTCTATATCTTTGGCCTTTTTTTTCAGTCCAAGCAGAAAGAACAACAGAGAGACTTGCCCTAGTCAACAAACGTGATGTCAAAGCAAGTTAGTGCTGCTGATTAAACATTTAAATATGTTTTGATACTGAAACATTTTCTTCTGCGTTGATAGTCCACCCATAGTTACACGCTCCACACTATACAGATATTTAAACCTCTCAGATCCATTCATATTCTGTTAATATCATCAATTGAAAAGGAAGAAGAAAGCAACAGATAGACTTTTTGTTTCATCCCTGAAGGTGCTTTGTACAGTATGTGAGCAACAGCACCAATGATCACTGTCAACAATAATCTCTGGCAAAGAATTGGTCGGTAGATAATCGCAGCAGCAAAGAAAATTGAAATGGAAACAACCTTTTATGTATGTAGTTCAAGCTAAGAAAATATTGATGAATATTAAAAGGGAGGAGAAAGTACATACAGATCATTTTAAATTGTAAAAAAATACACCGGACTTAGCTCATTGTGCTAAGCAACAATAGAGTAGAATTACTAATTGCTTAATAATAATAATTAGTAATACAATATGATTAATCCTGTTCTAACTAGTGGTTTTGTCTTGTTTTACTGTGATATATAGAACATGAGGATAATGTGTTCAGTTACTGTAAAGTTAAGGCCCTGAGTGAAAGAGGTCATTGGAGAGAGATTCAAAAGATAAGGGTGACAGTTCCCTCCAGGCACTTTTTCCACATCATCCTCCAGCCCCTCATTTACTGTACAACAAGGGCCCTTTCTGTGCGCTGCACCACCAGGCTCACATGCTCGCTCGCTCAGATCTGGAGGACGTCTTCCCAATTAAACCAGTGAAGAGGTGCGCTGGTTGAACAACATCGCCGTGTGACAGCTGAAAGACGGAAAGACAAAAACTATGGAAAACGGAAAAGAGAAAGGTAGGAAAGACTACAGTTCGAAATACTGGCAGTTAATTTATGGTCCAGCTTTGCTAGTTTTTTTTATTTGAGTTGAGTTGTGCCAGTTACTATTGCTGTAATTGTTATAATTGCATTTTACCATCAGTACAGAAATATCAGAAAAGTATTGTTCATTCAGCCTTTAAATAATAGACACACTAGAGAATAAATGTATTAGTACATTTAAGTTGCTCGTGTAAGGAAACGGATAATAAATATTTTGTTACTTCTCTGCTGCAGTAGCAAAATCAGCGTGTTACAGTATTTGCAATCCAAAATCCTCTGTCCACAAGGCTTAATGAACTATGAATCAAAAGCCAAAGTAAAAATTCATAAATGCATTCTTAGCAATGTAAAGCACGAGAACAACTGTTAATAAGATCTTAAAATCTAATATTGCTGCAGGATATGCATCAATATGCATTTTAGCCATATTTGTAATATGATCTTAAAGGTAAGGCAGAATTTGTTGCTGTCAGGTTTTAATTGGAGCAAAGATATCACACTTAAATATACATTTGCTTTGTTGTTACAGTCTGAAGACAACTTCAAATGAACTAATATACAGTATTTTAACATATTTAAAAACCTTCTGGCAGAGACTCAATATTCAATACATGTAGTTCAACTTTTATTTGATGAATCTAAGGGTTGTTAGATTAAATCTTATTAAAAAGCCTAAAGTGTGCAAATTGCATTCAGATTCAGGCTCAACTGACTAGTGCAAATACAGTACTTTCCTGAAACTGTGACCCAAATATGAACAAATCACCAACTGATGGAATACAAGATAAAAAATTTCAAGGAGAGCATAAGTCTTAAATATATATATATTTTTTACAAAACATCTTTATCTAGTCTGGGGGTATATGTTCCTATCTCTCACTGTATATTACTTGGATCAGTTTTAAGACTCTGTTACATAATTCCTACCTTGACTGGTTAACTGATCGTTACTTGATTTAATTAAATTAAAAAGGTGTGACAAAGCCCTAGAATTGTGAGGGCTGGAGAAACTACATTGATTACATGTTATTTAACTCACCATTTGTCTCTTGTAGCTTTCTGTTCTTTATGCTGACATATATAGATAAAGGGCAGATCAAAGTTAAATATTTGCTTCTTTCAGTTCAGCAGAAGAAAAAATTCTGACTAAAGCCTGGTTTCATTCCCCAATTTAAGAAGACAGAGACATGGATGATATGAATTTACAGATTGCAGAGGTAAATTTTGTTAATAGTACTATTTTGTTTATAATCCAGCGTGTTTATAATGAGAATTTGTCATGCATATAATATGCTTTTACATAGATTTATATACATGTGTCATTTTATCTATCGCAATATGTTGCAGCAGTGATTTCTCAGTTTTAAATGAGTTACCAAGAACTTTGTAGTGTCAAGCAAAGAAACTAATTATCAGAAAAAAATAAGCATATATTTGCATTTCCTATACTTTTCTGTGCTGCTTCCAGAAATTATAATGTAAATCGAACGCAGTACCCTTTGAACTGCTGAATCGTGTGTCCAAAATCTAGATCCAGACTTAATATTAGAAATCAAGTTTGAAAAGAGAGTTAGTTGGTCTTGAGCCCTGCATGGTATGTGGTATGTTTTTATTTCCAGGAATACGTTCAATTTGTTTAGTGAATATATAACATACAGTACTGTCCATCTGTGCTTATATGATTATATATGACCAACAGAGCCTCTTCGATTAAATGTAGATTGGACTGTTTGCAGAATCCAGTCTACTTAAATCTGGACCTTCATAATCATAACCACATGATTCAGTTAACATATAAAAACGGGTTCCAGCTTGCAGTCTGAATTAGAGGTTTTTCAAATGAGTTTATTCGCTTTTCTCTTTGGTTTAAATTTAATAATTGCTACTGAACTGCAGTTCCACAAAAGTCAGTGCAGCTGGCCTTTTAATGCAACTGCAGAAATTGTGACCTTCTCCACAAGATCAACAACAAAAAGCTCATCAGGACAAAGTGAAACAGCACCAAGTGCAGCAGATAAGGGAAACGATTTATCTGCTGACTGAGACTGGCCTTTTCTTAAAGTCCTTAGACTGTACTGTGTGTATTCCCGAGTGAATGGTGAACTGGAAGCTGTTTCTTTTCTGAGGTTCTTGACCCTGTCCTCTCTGGTGCTTGCAGCTGCAGGCGCTTGCTGCAGAGCTGAAGAGTGGACTGACAGGAGCTCTGCAGGACATCTCCAACATCCAGCAGAGAGACCACAATCTGGAGGAGAGCATGATGAGCTTCCACAGCGAAGTGGATGAGAAATTGCTTGGAATGAGAAACTCCTTAAACACCTTCAAGGTTATGTCCTGGGGCAACGCATAGTTAGACAGCACAGCACAGGAATAGGGTTACTTGAAAGTTCAGACCAGCATCGATTCACTTGTGTCAGATTTATGGCTCAGTCCGATCTATGGGATGAAGACGTGAAAGTAAATTTGATATGGCTTTGTAACTGCTGGAGCTGCAGGACCAGAATCAGTCAGAATTAAATAGTGATTGCTAAAGCTGTGTATTGCTCTTAAAAATAGGCAGTAGTGGGGACATGACTGCATCATGCTCCTTAGGAAAATATTAGCCTTTGGAGAAATTATATCAGATATTCTGGTTACACCTTTGCTGGAGGAATGAGACTTGCACACAGTGGCCATGTGATGATGAGTGCAGATACCAACAGATCAGATCTGGTTGATCATTTGGGAGTAAATTTGTCTCCTGTGATGACACTGTCCTTGAGAAATCGACATGACAAGGGTATCTTACATGATTGAACAGGGGTTGCATTTTCTAGCCTTGTGGTATGGAATAAATATGTTATAGGAGACCACCTTTCCAGCTGCTGAAAATATCTTTTGTAGGTCAGAGCATCCTATTGCTAAAATGTAAAATAAAGCAAAAACAGTGGCCTTATCATACAGAAATAGGGAGGAAGAGAGTTAAAACAAATATGGTAAAGGTATGTCTTCAGATAGGTCTTCAAAAGAATAAGAGAGGTATTTCCATATATTTCAGCAGGAGAACATCCGACCTGAAGTAGTTCAAGTAGGGAGCTAAAGGTTTGTTCCCTGCTGAAAAGAGAAGAAAAGAAATGCAATATTTCGGCTGTGGAGCCTTCTTCGGGTGTGAGGGAAACGTTGTGTTTCCCTTCTTCTCTTTTCAGCAGGGAACAAACAGTAGACCTGCCTGGAAGAGAAACGCCAGATTCGGAGGCCTGATCAAGTCATGCTATGATTTGTCTTTCTGACTAGGAGGAGCTGAATACTGCCTTGTCTCAGATCAAAGACATCAATAGCCGGCAGAGAGAGATGCAGAAAGGGCTGGAGCTCTTTCAGATGGAGGTGGGGAGAGAACTTCTTTCCAATCAAGAGAGGTAGTGAAAGAATGCAAACGTCTGCCACTGATCTCATCTACAAGCCCACCCAAATATTGATATTTCTTGACAAATGTTCTTTACTCCCTGACTGCCCACACAGAAAAGACCAGAAAGAGGACATCACTGCTGATGGATGCCAATATGAAGCAAGCCAGGCAGGGCTCAGCACAATCCAGCATTATTTTGCAAGTCTACAGAGCACTTCATCTTCAAAAGGTACAGTGCCGCCGTTTACACCATATTTGCATTGAATATGTTTCAGTAAAAATTGAAATTAATAGGGGAACCACAAAGTCCAGTTGTTCTAACTTTTTCTGGTATATGGGAAACCTAAATTATGAATACCAAAGACAAAAGCATGTACTTTGTCTTTGGTAAAATGTACACTTATCTTCTAATAGTTCTAAGGAAGGTAGTTGAGCAGGGTTGCTCCAGGCTCTGGTTTCCCAGAACGTCAGAGACTGTGACCTGTAGGCATGTGACAGTCACGTCAGCGAGGTGGGAAGGACAATGTCTATTGATACAGTTTTCCATGTCTGCAGTGAGCCCCGAGCAGGAAAGTGGCACTCACCAGAGGGGCCTGTGCAAGTCGCCTGTGTGGGGAGACGGTGCTGAGGCACTGAGCATTCAGGACATGGGTGAGAATTCCACAGATCCTTGGGGACTCCTGTACACATTTCAGAACAGAACATGTGAACTTCATGTTGACTGAGGTCTTTCTCCATACTAGCTATGTATATAGTTCGGGTGGGGAGCTGCGTCAGCAGGCGTAGGCTGCAAAGGAACAAGTAATAGGTTTATTCCCTGCCGAAAAGAGAAGAAAGAAAAGACAATGTTTCGGCCGTGGAGCCTTCTTCCCACGACCGAAGAAGGCTCCACAGCCAAAACGTTGTGTTTTCTTTCTTCTCTTCTCAGTAAGGAATAAACCTATTACTTGTTCCTTAGCTGTTTATATGTTTGATGAGAGTGAATTAAATTGAATCGAGGCACCATCTGATCAAAAACAAAATACAATCATCATTTTCAACAGAGTTTAGACAATCAAATATAAAGCAGACTTCACCTACCAATACACTAGAGACATGAGAGGGTCTTGGTCTTTTTGCCATTTGACTGTGTATTGTGCCATTCTCAAGTTTAACAGACCTGCTTGCCCTCTGCATTGTTTTCCATGTAAATCTGTTGTTTGGAAATCATTAAACAATTTCAATTCATACTCTAATCTTCAAACAATTATTCTAATCATTTATTCTTTGCCATCAATAGTGTACATACCCTAGTCTCACATTCAATATCAGTCTCCTGACATTAGGTTATTGGGATTTTTCCATTAATGTATATGTATTTATGTTAAAGGTAAGAGGCAGAATTCTGCACTGGAGCTGCTGGAATCGGAGAGAATGTACGTTTCCTATTTATCATTGCTGCTAAAGGCCAATATCACCTTTAATGGGTCTGAAGCCGTGCATGTCAAGGATAAAAGGTGGGTTAAAAACATAAAACTGGGAGTAAGATTCGGAGAGCAGTGAGCAGTTCTGAGAGGAAAATTAAACTGGCTGTGCAGTAATGTTTTATAAGAACTATCCCATTTTACAGTTAGCAGATAATTGATTCAAGGAGCTCATCCAGCCATTTCTTGAAATAAACCAGGGTGTTGGCTTCAACAACAGGTCTGGGTTCGATGCTCCCACAGTCCTTTGGGTGAAAAGGCGCCTCTTGTTCTTGGATTTAAAACCACTTCCCTGTAGTTTCCACTTGTGCCCTCTGGTTCGTGTTTGACAGTTCATTCTGAGGAAGTCCATTGCGTGGACTTTGAGGATTTGAAATACTTGTATCGGGTCCCCTCTAAGTCATCTCCATTCAAGATTAAAGAGAACCTGAATCTAGAATTAACCGGAGGTCATTCGAATTTTCACACCACTCTCTGTTCAACTACTCTGGGCTCATGTGTTGGGTAGCTGGTCGGTAATTTGGCTTTTTCTAAAGAATATTTCTGCATTGAACAGAAAAAAAAACAGCTGGGTGTCCAACAGTTGTTTAATAAATGTAACATAATGACTACTTTTATTTCTTACTTTTTAGGGCTATTACATTTGCTTGTGGTGGTTGTGTAAAATACAAGGGAGATTCTTCCTGTCCAGTCTATGATTCGACATAGACCCACACTGATTACTATTCTCTGCTTAGTACTGTGTATGCTAATAAACTGAAATCCTGTATCTGCATGTGCATTGAACCCACTTCTTTGTAACCTTTACTGAACTTTGCTCTAATTGAGAAATACAAATCAGATTAAGATTATAAAATATATCAAGGGAGACAGGAAAGTCTTCTATCAAATGGCAAAACGACTTGGGAGCATTTAAGGCTAACGTTCAGACAAACAGTCCTCAAAAATGATGATGGGCAGCAAGTTTTAAGAGTAATGACTAAAGTCATCTGAACGTATGCTTCAGCATGTGAAAACAGAGCACAAGATCACAGAGCCTCCAGTCTGTTGATGTAGCTGATATATTAAATGGTCTTGGAAGTGGTTATATAAGAGCTTCTTTATGCATTGACCAGCTGAACATTTATCCCTAAAACAGCTGTTCACCTATCTCCCCCTCAGTTACAGCCTTTTCTTCCATGACTGGGGCTTTTGTTCTCAGCCATGTGCTGAAACAACCATCTGAGCAGCTTGTGACAGTGAGGAACCTTGTGCACATCCACAGCACATGGTGTAGCCATATCTGGAGACACATTACAGAACAGAGCACATTACAGAGCAAGCAGGTGGAGTTTAGCCATCACTGAATTAAGTGAAGGTGAAGACACAAACCTGCAGGAAGATACTGGATTTTCCGTGCTTGTTTGCTGTGCCGTTGATCCAAGCAGAAGAAACCTTCGCAGGCTCGAAATCAGCCAGACCCACACGGAGGCTTAAATGAAATGCCGATTTGTTTCTGAAGCTCACACTCTGTTTCACATTCCTGAGTGGTGTAATGAAAAATGCCGTTTGCTTGCTGTGTTCTTTTCCAGGCTGTTCCCCAGCTCTCTACGCTTTCTTATTCAGCAGCACCTGGAGCTGCTTCACGGCCTGCAGGAGCGGCTGCTCAGGAGCCAGTGGCAGGGCATCGTGGGGGACGTCTTCATGAAGCTGGCCAGCAAAGAGGTGGGTGTGCTTCCAGAGCGAGACGAGGAGGGCACAGAGGTCCTTGCCGGAGGGCCTGGAAACAAACCTGGCAGAAATAGAGCAGAACAGAAATAATGAGTGAATTCTTGACTGAGATCGATGTCAAGCAAATCTGCTTTTCTTAACAGTCTTAGTGTATGCAGATACTGTACTTGACACCCTATTAAAGCACTCTGAACAGCACACTTCAAACCCCCCCTCAGTAAACTCAGTCCAAACAATATTTCATACAGTGCTACTGCTTCTGTTGCTTTTTTTTACTTGATCCCTGCTGTAAGTCCAATTCAGTAGAATCGTTCGTGAAATGTCTTGATGAGCGATTTGATTTTGAAAGACAAGGGGAGGATAGTCTGGTTGGCCCTGCCGTGCTGTCACCGGGGCTTGTGTTACACAACAGGACACAGCTGGAATGGCTGCCTTTGATCCCGCCTTTCTAAATAATTCCTCATCTGCATATTTTCTCTCCTGCACGACATCAAAGAGCAGAGCTTGTGATTAAACAGACTGATGATCTGTGGAATGAGCGTCCGGAATATACGTGTACAAATCAGCCAGATGTGAGCCCTGCTCAACCCGAAAAGTGACAGAAAACATGTGATACAGTCTGGCTCTACGGACACATCATGTGTTGTTTGTTACAGAGCGATTTCCTGGATTATTATGTTGCTTATCTGAAAGAGCTACCAGAATGCCTTTCCGCTGTCAACATGTACTGCGCCAGTTCCTTCAAAGCTGCAAGCCTGTTGGAGGTATGAAAGGGAAGTAAGAACTTTTCATTCTACGTTTACTTAAAAACAGGCTAAAAGAGTGATCTCTCGCCCCTTTAAATGACTCTGCAATAAATCATCATTTCCCTCGGAAAAGCTTATGATTTCTGTGTGAATTTAAAATGAATCTCTGATATTGGAATATAAAACAACACGTTTTAGTGTCGTGACTTTTAAGCTCTAGAGCAAAGAAGAGGCATGTGGCCTGGTGGTGTGTGAATTAGACTGTACAGTGCACACAGGACAGGAAGGCTCCGGGTGTCTGAAGCTGCACATGACAGAACCTCTGCCTGTCTGCTTTCTGGGTTAGGGTGATGGCAATGGGGACGAGCTTCGACCTTCCCTGCATGCACTGCTTCTTCAACCAGTGCAACGCATCCCAGAATATCTTCTGTTATTACAGGTGAGCAGCCAAGCTCTACGGTTTTCTAATCTATTTCTTTTAGGGTGGCACAGCTGCATGCGAGGTTCTGCAGGTCTGGCTGTAGCCTCGGGCATCTCTCCATATGGAGCGCGCGTGTTCTTTCTGGGCTGGAGAGGCCCTGCAACGGTCTGGTGTCCGATCCAGAGGGAGAGCAGCCATGTGTTCCCAATCCCGATCTGAATCAGGGCTTCCAGCTTGGGCTCTGTTTTTTTCACCAACCATGCTGGAATAAGCAGCTTTCCGATAATGAGATAGTTTGGTGCGTTGCTCTATAGCTTCATGCAACTTCGTGTTTATTGCAATGTGACAGTTGCTGTAAGGGCGGTTTTCTTTGAAGAAACGGAATTGTTGCACTTTAATGACAAAACAATCATCTTGGTAATTTTCTGAGTCAAAACAATTGTCGCCTTATTAAATGAATGTATGCCACAGAGCAGAGTTGTTCAGGGATCGGTGCGGTACATCGATATAAATAAACCTTAGCTGATTAATCCCTTCCAATAGCATGGAAGAATAAGGGCTCCTATATTATTCAATTCCAAACCTGTATCTCATATTAAATTTTGCACAAATTGGACAGGGTATCTTCAGCGCTCTGAGCCCTTTGATACCCTTTAACAGCTACCTCAGAACTTAAACAATTACTGCTTTACTTGATGAAACAGCACTTTTTGGGGTGGGTAATCCTCACCTCATGGGTGAGGCGCAAGCACTGGGTGACGCTCAGTCCTTAGTGCTTTTTTCTGGATTACTGATCATTGATTATGCAGTGTTTGGGGAAAGGTTCGGTGCAAGGTAAGCTCGCCAGGGAAGTTCCAACAACAGGATCCTTTAAAACGAAGCATCAAACAGGATTCTTGTCTTGCGTTTCCAGAACTTGTGGAAACACACCGAGCCGGAGCACCCGGATTACTACCTGCTCCTGATCTGTATCCAGCAGTTCAAGGCGTTCACGTCTCAGTGCGGTCAGCTGCTGCTGCACAACGAGGAGCTGCTGAGGCACGACCGGAGGGACCTCAAGAGGTGAGACAGCAGGCGACCAGTATCGCCGCAGACGAGTTACACTGTACATTCTCAAAAAAGGGGATGCCGTTTGGCAAATCATTTGTTCATTTGGAAGATAGGAGTTGAATGATCCCAGATCTCCCTCAAGCTGTTTCTTAAAGCATCACACAGAGTCAGGTTTAACAAAGAGTTTCTTATCAACGACGGCAAACATCCCTTGAAATTCAGTCTGAAAACAGGTTTGCGTAAGTGTAGCTCCTTCTTTCTGTGTGTACAGCCATGGTAGATGTACGTGCCAATCACATTCTTTAAGAGTCCACTATCTTTTGTGTGTCAGGCTTCCCACGAAGCACTTATTCAGGACAGCTGACTGTGGGGTCAAGTCTGAAGAGCTCAGTTCCACAATCTCTCCCAGCTCTGCCTTGCTGTGAGTGTTACCATCACTTGTTTCTTCCATCCTGCAGTCGTACTGGTGTTCCCAGTTTGAGATGTTGGTAAAAACTAAGACGTCAAAGCTCTTCAGCACTTCTTAGGTGGCTCAAACATCTAGAGCTCAACTTATTGTAGTGTTAATGAACTGAGCATACAAGACTCTCCTTGAATGACGTGATAGACCATCATAGGCGAGTGGCATCCACTTACAGAGCTGGGATGACTAAAGCAATTATAATAAGGGACCTCATCTGAGAGCTCTGTAATGAGGAACTCTGGCAAATAAACCCCTGATCCATACGGCACCAGAAAAGTAAAAAGGCCATCCGATATGACCTTGAATTTAACGATCTGCCATATTTTGAATGTTTTCAAGGCAACGAGCGAGCCAGGTGAAGAGAAGCAAGCAGAAGCTGCTGGATCAAATGCAGAGCAAGAGAGCTCAGGACTGGGAGGGCGTTACCAGGCAGTACGACTCGGCCAAGAACGTCAGCCAGGAGTTTTTCTTCAGCCCCGAGGTGGAGCCGAGGCTGAGGTCTCCAGCGCTCCAGAGCATTCCCGAGATGGAGCAGGAGCACGGCTCCTCGGAACGTCTGCCCTGCAAGGGGCCGCCCCCTGGAGACGGCGTGGGGGAATTCCTGCTTCCCGGAGAGGCCCCGGTCCTGGACAGCCTGTACGAGGACGAGGACTCCCTCCACGACGTCTCCCTGCTCGACAACGGCTCCACGGCCTCCTCCAACTCCAGCGTGGACACGGCCTTCGCGCGCTGCTCGCGGGGCTACGCCGGCGAGGCCTGCGGGGGGGGGTCCAGGCTGCCCGGCCGCGGCTGCACCTCCCCCGAGGAGCCGGGCCCCCGCCGGAGCCGGCCGCCGCAGGCCGCCCAGCGCAAGAGCAAGTCCCTGAACGGCCTGCAGCTGGACGGCCCCGGCGGCACCCCGAGCCACAGCCCGCAGGGCTCCGCGGCAGGAGGGCCGCACGCCAAGCTGGAGCGGCAGTCCAGCAAGGGGTCCGCCCCGCGGAGAGCCGAGGCCGAAAGACGAGCAGCCCCCGAGGAGGAAGGATTAAGCAGAGACCGCGACAAGGTACCGCTGCCCTCTCCCAGTCATCAGAGTACGGCAGGCCAGGACTCCAATTAGCACCGGTTTCATTGCGAAGCTGCATTCCCAGTCGAGCATTTGCAAGAGGTGTTTACATCGCCTTCCGAAATCGTCCTTCTGGTGTAAAAGCAGAGCTTATCCTGGCGGAAGGGGTTTCTTTTGAGCACTTGGGAATTTATTCAGTCTAGAGAGATACTCGGAAAAGAGAGGAAACCGATTGCACCAATGTGCTCCTATAAAATCAACATTCCCAATAAATAATATGTTGAAGAAATGCTATAACATCCCTTAATTTATCAGGGGCCTATTGCCGTCTAGCACAGCTTTTAATATTTTATGACCAAGATTAGCTTTATGGATTTACATCAGTTCGCTTTTATATCTTGGGGTTGAAAAGCCTGGGACTCTATATGGCTCAGCCAGTGACACTGGGAGCTGGGTGCACCTGAGGGCAAGGGGGTAACCTTACCTTATTCCAGCAGGAGGCAGGGGGGCAGGTGTGGTGCGAAGAGTCCCCGTGGAGAAGCAGGCCAGAAGACCACGGCCAGACCGCTTTCAGTGAAAGGAGCAGGAAACAGGACCAGAAAGGAGGGTTTAGGAGCTCCTTCAAGAAGCTCTTCAAGAAGAAGTAAGTGGTCAGGTGTAGCTGCAAAGCTATCTGGGCTTCAAGTCTGTTACTCCTAGTAACTAAACAGACTGTGTCCCCAAAACTAGGCATCCATACCTCTTGTCATGATTAAGCACAGATCAATTCCAGTTGTCCACCTCATTTCCAGAGTCCTTCTCTAAAGGGTTTTTACAGTAACATCCAGCATTTTTGTAAAGGGATTCTGATAGATTGCTGTGGTTTGTTTCTCTCCTAGGTCCAGTGGGACTGACATTAAAGAAAAGGCAAACGAGAAGCCGATATCTGAGCCCCTGGTCTTTTCCGATCAGGAGATACTGAAGACTCCACGGAGTGCTCGAATTGGAGAAATCGACAGGGGGACAGCAGTGTAAGCCCAGCTTGCCTACTTCTGGAACACTGCTGACTGAGAAAACCTTTTTCCCTGAAGTACAGTGTTTTGAGAAGGAAGGACACTAGGATTTGTATTCACTAGGATATTATTATATTTGCTGTACATAAGCCGTCTTTGTTTTCCCATCATTTGTCAAGGCAACGCGTGATTGGATATTGTTTTTAAAAATGAATAACAATGAAGTGAATATGTGGGACTTTATCGGAGAAATGATGTAAAATGTATCTCAACATGCAGAGGAAAAAGTCCTGAAAACCAGAACTAATGCAGTTTAGTCCATTTTCAATCCACCTTTGGGACTCAAATCTAAATCCAAAATACTCAAGTTATTTAAATCACAGAGCCAATATTTCACTTTACTCTGAAAAAGCCTTGACTGTCCTTTTATGGTTGGCTGGCATTTTTCAGCGCTTACATATATTACTTCTTTTTGTACCACTACACAGCCATAAAAAAAAAAAATCAGTTTATGTAAACCCATGTTTGAGCTATGATCAAGTGTTTGTGCTAATGGATCATGAATTTCAACCACCTTATGTTGTGACTTAAACCTTTTGACTAATTTTAATGAATGGATTTACACCATGTTGCCCAATGACCTTTAGCACTGGAGTCTGTTCCATTGCTTTATGCCAGTGGAGTTGAAAAATCTTCAAGTGCTACTTTAGAAAACACCCCCCCATGAACACCAGCTCACAACAGAACAAACTGATTGACGCTGATGGAAAAATACCCCGGTAAGATATTCCAGTTTCAAATGTACATGAGAGAACTGGGATTTTACAAAAAAAAACAACAACAAAAGAGACCACTACTCACATGAGAGTACAAGCTATTGTCAACCTTGTTGCACTAAAACATTTCTTTTAATTGCAGATTTAATAGCCTGAAAATACAATCATTTTTGTGTACAATTCAAATAGCTCACAGCAAAGCAAGCTAGGGATATTTTTTTAGTCATCGACACTTGTTTTAGTTCCTTTTGTCTCTGTGGTTTTAGACTGTATTCGAATGCTAGGAACACTGATGATTGCAATATGTCCGTTTCCGTTAAAATGCTAAATGAATAGTTGCCCAAGTGGAATACAGAGATGGTGTGGAGACAGTGAAACATACAGGTTTATGGCAGATGAGACAGTGGATTACCCTCATTCGTTACACCCTGGACAGGCTCACAACTTACAGTTAATCAAAGTAGCAAATAATCATGCCAATAAAACAAAGTCAAATACATATATACACACAGTTAAACTCAGTTATGTACAATTCGTCTTTTCCCTCTCCATCCCTTCCCCACAACTGACTTTTTTTTTTGTTCGCCAGTACAGTCGGAATGCACTCCAAAAGCCAAGACCCTTTTTTTTTTTTAAGTCAAAGAGGCCTAACAACTGAAGAGATGAATACACCCCACTCCTCGTCATTTACCTACACTGAAAGACAAAGAACAAAAGCCCAAAATATAATCAAAGGCACATATTGGTAGCAAATTAATGGGACATGCTTCTGGCACAGGAGCACGCCTTGCTGGGCTCCCAGATAAAAACTAAGTCAAATACAAAGGTGATGCGCCAGAGTGCTGAAATCATAGCCAGTCTGCATGGTGTTAGTTGTCGCCCCAATTAAGGACCTGGTTTACCTGTTGCACTTTTTTTCAATGCAGGTAAGCTACTGAAAGCACTTTTCTTTTAAGGGCGAAGGAGAGAACAACCAGCAGCTAATGTTAAAAATGCACTTTATGGTAATGAACTGAGGAGCAATGCAATTAAGATCAGAGCTTTTTTTTTTTTTACAAGTGCTAAATATTAATGCAAAACCTCTAAACTCAGAACTCCGTAATGCTACAGTAGTTTTTTTTTTTCCTTTGAAATCCCTGACTCTTGAAAGGCTGACATTTTACATGGCACAGGAAAAAAACTGTAATTCTATTGTATATTAATTAGGTCTCTTTAACACTTTTCCAAGTACAGGTGCAGGCAACACAGGATTTGGGGTTCCAGGCACTAAAACAGAGACAGTTTTTAAAATAAAATTTTGATCTATACCAAATGCATACATATGTTTAATAACCGGCACTTGCAGCAAACACTACTGCTCAAAGGTTTAACCTATAACAATGAAACATACCACAGATTTCTCTGCTTATGGACATAAGAAACAAAACCTAATGCTTGTTTGTTTCGTTTCAGGGGTTTGGAAGCAAAAAAAAACCAACAAAAGTATTTTTTTCCTCTCTTAGCATTTAATAAAAAAACAGCCATGTTTCAAGATTCACCAGACACTTTTATAAATCTGGTAAGAAACCTTGAAACACAAACACTGCTGTTTTTTTTTTTTTAAGATGAAAAAAATCCAGATTCCAAACAAATCATGTCTCTTTCAAACAGAAAAATAAAAGTGAATTGTAATCACTTTAGCTCCAGTTTTTTTTGTGACACAAGAGCAGAATGCACAGGAATAGCAACCTTCTCTCTTCTTGGCCTTGAGGAGAATCCTAGCTTTCTCCTTCTCTCGTGAACACAAACTGGAACCCAGTACAAAGGCTCATGATTCACCAGGAAACCAGTTTTACATCCTGTGTTGTCCCAATGATGTTTACCACAGGTACACCACAGTTAAACTTCAACCAGAAAACCTGTCAGGTCATTTCTCCTCTCATGAATGTAAACAAACATCCGGCAATGAAGAATTAAAACCTGATTTATTACCCCTGCATGTGCACCTAAACATTTTGTATTGAGTGCTACAATGCATGGAACCCTGGGCTATGATTAGCTTGGCAATTCTTTTTTATATTGCCCAAACCAAACCAAGAGAAAGCAACAGTAATGCAAACCTGATTGCAGAGTTGAACTGTGTAAATGAGTTTGAAAACATTTTGCATGCTTAAAAATGAATATTACTTTTTTACAATGACATACAACATTTTTGACAGATTCTTTGAGGATGAATTTGCAACACTACCCATTTCCGAGCTTTTATACTTCCAATTTGTTTTCTAAAGAGAATGAAATAAATGAACCAGAAATCCAATTTATTTCTTTTAGCCTGGGACAGTTAACAACAGATTTTAGTAGGCCACTCCTGGCTGCTAGTGTGGAAGTGAAAAGACTCAGACTGACACTAAGGGAAATTCTGCTGCCAGACACTGGTACAATAACAGTCACATGGCTAGAAACAGCCGTCATGGACAGCTATTAAGTTGAGCTTGACTATGGCTGTTACTTAAATGACTATATAGCACAATCTGCAATTCCTTGGTACAGCATATGTCTCTGCATATTTTGCCTTTAGAAGAATCACCCTTAAAATATTTTTAGTGTGTTCACTGTTGCTTGATGTGTCAAATGTTTTCAAACCAAATTTTGTGTTTTAAATTGAAATTACTATTACAGAAACAACTGGGTGCTTGAGTTTGGAGAAAAGCTAACTAGCTCACATTTCCCCTCATAAAGATCTTCTATTATCCCAATTACACTAAAACCATTTAATTCTTCCATGCTAAAAAAAGGAGTGGGGAGTTATGACTACACTTTAAAACACATCTAAAACAGCTGACTGTGCTGAAGCCTGAAAACAAACAACTGACATCTGCTAAAAGGAGAATTTATAGGCACAGTATGATCAGCAGAACTTGAGCTACCATCCGGTACTACAACATTCAGACAACAAATATAACAAGAGAGACAACACCTAAACTGTGTGTGTAATGGGGGCCTCCCACATGGCACAACCACTAAAGATCACCTGGTTAATGTTGTTAGCAGACCTATAAATATGATTAAAAAACTGAATAGTAAAAATACCTGATACTGAGTGAGGTGTAGAAACTATATAATATGACTCAGTGATGGACTGTCACAGAAAATACAGCCACTTTATACAAGAGAAAGCTACCCTTTTACTTTTTAGGGATGACACTAACTGTTCAGTTCCAGCTGTTTGAGTCTTATTTCTACTGTAAACAGCTGGAAGTAGGACAAAACCCTCACTTCACCCAGCAGTGTGCAGTGACCTAATGACTATACAGTTCTGATGCTGATCTTGCAACACAAATGTCCAAGAACTCTAGAAAAGACATTCCTCACAAGACCTGCTACAGACTCCCTCTTTCACCTTTTGCCTGGAAGATTCCAGGCAACGTCTGTACAATGTCTCTTGTCATATTGATGAAATAACATTCGCCAAGTCCAACGGAAACTAGGGGCAAAAAGCAGTCATCACCAAAACCTTGAAATACAGACTCTACACAAGTTTAACATTTGTAAGTGGCATGTTGGCTTGGTGTGGGCAGCCTGAAACAGACCCTTGTGATTGTAATGTCTGCCTTACGACAATGGTTCTCAACCCTGCACTTGGGGGGTCCTGTCTCTTCTGGTTCTCATTCCAAATGAGCTCTTAATCATTATCCGGATTTAGGATCTTTTTTCAGATTCATAACTGGCGTCAACTTTGAAACAATGTCAGTTCTACACCTCTCCTCATGTAAGTGGAAGTGTCAGATACAGCATCATTCCCACCTGCATGTAAGTCATCAATAAATGGAATGGTTACCTACTGAGAACTGGTTAGACAGAGATAAGGCAGAAATCATTTAATAAACTGAGGAGAGACTGGATGGAGTTCTGTTTGTTAAATATATTCACAACGACAATCCTGCAGCAGACTTTTGAAACCAAAGACTGAGTGTAAATTAGAGGATACAAATTAAAAACGTCTAATCAAGTTAGAAGTTCAATTATAGGAAACAATCACCTTCAGTGATTAAAAGCTCTTTAGTCCAGAAGATACAGGGAGCCCTAGGACCAGGACAAAGAAAACTGTTCTATATTACATGATGTTTACTGTTAATACATTTGATTTGAACAAAACAAGAGCTGTAACAGGCACCTTGAGTTGAATCCTCTTCCATTCACACAAGAGCAATTATAAAAAAACTTTAATGTTCCCTTTTAGGGTTACAATCATACTTCAGATGACTTTGGACAAAAGACTACTTGTCTTGTATTGACACTGAAGCTTCAATATAGAACCGGTGGTAAATGCAGTTTGAACAATTGTTTTGGTACCATAAAATTCAGACCTTGCATTGAAACAAATGTAAAAAACAACAAAAACTGTTTCCATGATCTTGGAAAACTTCAGCAACACGATTACAGTGTTTTCCTCATCAAACAGTTATAGTATTTGTCTGGCCTCTTGTTTTATGGTAAATACAGGTAATACCATCAGGAAAGGATTTTTTAATGCTTTAAAATAAAAAAAATGATATGTGAAAGTGCCAAGAATGCCCAACTGCTATGAGTAGCAGCAAGTAAGGAACGCTTAGGTTAGCGTTACTTAAGCGCCCAATGTGGATGAGAAATCTTAATATGATGCACGATTACAGTGTGAAATGGGATAGTTGAGTGTGCAATGTACTGATGGCGATCCTCTATAAGAACTGTATCTGCTAGACATGCAGTAACATCAGTGTTTCAGCAGACAGTGAGGTATATTAATAATCCAAGTCATTAACTCAACCCATAACTGTTTAAGGTATGAAGATCAGGTAAAGGCCTTTGCACAAGACTGCAAAGCAGACTTATTCCCCTTGCTCTTGTCCTGAGACCAGAAAATGCAAAATGGATGACTATCCTGTTATTGTAATCAATGTAATTTATGCAGGCTTTATGTTCAATTTAATCAGAGGCATTCAGTGAAAACTGATTAGATTGAATCATATTCATGGTTATTTTGGAGGAAATTCCAAGGATGTTTTTTTTCCAAAAGCATTTGGTTGCATTCCAATTAACTATGCAATTATAAAAATTATAAATGCAACACTTTTGGCAAAACTGGATTATCAACATACCTTCCACACAGCTGATACTGATAACTCTACTTGCAGGATGTCATTACTCCATCACTCTGTTACATACTTACATCAAGGTCAGGCTTTAAGAGCCTTTTCATTGCCGAGCTGGAAAAACACTTTTTATTCCCTTGTTTAAAGAAGGCAATTGTTTACACACTTCTTGGCAAAACCAAAAAAAAAACAATGACTGTTTTTGCAACAGTTTGAAAGTACCTCTTTGGTGTGGAGGGTTACCGTTAATTGTGGTATTGAAAGATTACTGGCACAATATCTCAACTTAAACTAAAAAAAGTCTAAACATGTCCAATGAATGTCATTCCCAAGTCCCTTTTTTTGTCTTGATGAATATTTGATGTCAAGAAAATGAAGGTAAATTAAATAAAACTTAGATCCCTGTTTTAGTTTAGAAGGTGCCAAATTCTGCATATGGGCTTTTCTAAGCAATATTTTAGTGCCCATTCACTTCCATAATGAAAAGTAGTTTTAAACAGGAAGCTGTTGAAACTGGCATATTGACCTCTTTTGCAGTGTGTTGTCTAAAACTGGTCCTATTCAACTGGTGGTGTTCTCCTCTGATGCTGCTGAGCACTTTCCTGAAATGAGATCCTTAAAAAAGACAACACGGCAGGCAATCTCCTTGGTTTCAATGTATTAAAAAGACAATCATCTTCTTGTTGAAGGTGTAAGGTCACGTCTCGGGTGTAGCCAAGAATGGCTTTTTTTGCAGTCTTTAGTGTTAGCATGTCTGCGCCCCTTGTACCCTGCAGTCTAGGAGGAGTTGGCATTTTCAAGCAAGGGCAGCGTGTCTCGGTGTATAGATGGGTGCAGGGGCTCCCTTTTATAGGTTTTGGGGGGCAGCTTGGGGATGGTCTGGGAGGTGCTCTGACGAGGGGGGACAGGGGGCCCAGTGGCCCCAGGCAGCTCGGGGTCCTGGGGTATTAAGGGTGGGGAAGGCAGGTGTTTGCGGGATCCCAGAGGGGAGGGTGTCTGAGGGGGCAGGGGGCTGAAGGGCGAGGGCGGGAAGAAGGTCTGGCTCAGTTCGTTCCTCCTTCCCTGCGGCGGCGGCTGCAGGTGCAGCGGGGAGCTGGAGAAGACGTCCGGCGTTCTCACAGGCTCCCGCGGCGGCAAGGTGGGGGGGCTGTCTGGGGGGTCTGACACCGAGGTCCGCTCCGACAGCGGGTACCTCGGAGAGTACACTTTGGTCGTGGGTTGCCGGGGAGGGATGGCTGGCGGGCTGTCCAAGTGCCTTGACATCAGCTGTGAGGGGGAGGTCAAGAGAAACAGAGAGAGGTTAGGGAACAATATCAAGCCGTTTTCAAACTATTTCAATATCAAACTCGTTTCCAAATCAAACTGCTTACAGGGACTCTTAAACTGGCTTCAGGAAAGCTTTAAGAGACACTTCACATCTTAATCCTGGTATTTCATAATGACGAAAAAGCAAGAGTTAATGCGATTAGGACCATGTGTATTTAAATGCACGGGGTGTCCAGGATAAAAGAACGAGAGATCTAGCACAGTTTCAGTGGAACATGTTTACTCATTATTTCTGTGTATGTGGATAGGAAGAGCAGCGTGCTCTGTGTTAAGCCATCCTGGATAAGGAATGAGCACTGCACTTTACTCAGGCAAAAAGGGCAGCCAGTGAAGAGCTCCACATGCCCATGCTTCTCTTATCTCTTCTTCCATGCTGCCACTGTATTCTCTGATTCGTGCTCCAGTAATACTGCCCCAGCGGGACTGCTGCGCACAGCTCGGAGCCTTACCTTCGAAGGGGAGGACTCAGCAGGGGCCGACTCCGGCCGTCTCCGAGGGGGCACAGGGGGAGGCACGGGGGCGTCCTCTAGGCTTCTGTTAAAGCTAACCATGGAGGAGACGGAGGAAGATCCTAGCAGGGAGTAATAGTGCATCTATTAAAATGTAATACAGCACAGATGATGCAGACAGAGGACAAACACATCACCAAACATGTGACTTGATCACCTCTGCCATATCTTAGAGGGTGTTACATGTGAAATGGGACATGCAGAGGCTTTGCCTTAAAATGGAAAAAATAGGATCATTCTTAAAAAACACACGAAAACACTACTAACACAGACAGCGTGTATAAAAATTGCACTTTGGAAAGAAGGGGCTGATTTGAACTAAATTAAACTGAAGTTTACCTATGCAGATCTTCAATATGGATGTAGTCTCTTGGACTTTAAGCCCATGTCAAGCTAGACTTTTAAATACAGTGTATCATACATTTCACAGGATCTGAAGCCCATTCTTATGCTGAGAACATTAAAGGACAACACATACACTGAAGCAGAGCATTTGACGTATCATTAAAAACTGAACATTGTTGCTGAGGCTTGATAATGATGGGAATGTTATTTTACCAGGCAAGCACTTGTCAACACCAAGGCCATAAATCAAATGGACAACTACAATGGCTGAGAAAGGGCGGGGCACTGTAGAAGAACATCTGATTTTGTTTCCCTATGACCTGCAAATGACAACAATAACAGATTTAAATTCTAAGAACCACAGTAGGGTACTACTGTGAAAAAATGGTGTTTTCCTATAAAAATGTGAATAAGGATCTCTGTTCTTTTCTATCGGGAAGCTGCTAATCTTGTCCTCAGCAGGCCGGGGTCTATCCTGGGAGCCATGGGTGGAAAGCAAGTCAGAGGGACCAAGCCTGTCCACCTAAGAGCTGCAGAGAACAAGATTTCTGAACAAGCAGTCGGAACCAGTCTAAATGCATCTGGGACATAGAAAAAAAACAGCAGTACCCAGCAGAAACCCTGGCAAAATCAGTATGTCCTCTTAGAGGCTGGAATCAATACTATGCTGCCCTGTGGAAAGCCTCAATGTCACTACTGGCTGTGCTAAGAGGCAGAACATGTGGAGCGCCTTTCCAGGGCTTGGCTCCACAGATGGAGGGCGGCAGGGGGACAGATGAGGATTGGGAGTGCAGCAGCTGACACTCCATTGCACATTGAGTGCCCCTGTCACAGCTGCTTAGTTTTTCCTTAGGGATCCTTTGGGGGTGGTTTGAAATGTGGAGGGTGGGGGCCTGTTGTTGTACAGCGTTATACCATTTTGGTCCTATTTTGTTCTGTTTTTTGAAACAATGAGAATCTAGGCCACAAAAAAAAAACAAGAAGTTACGTATATAATTGTATTCAAGAATATACTCTCAGGACTGTGTCATCAGGCCCAGAAACACACCATAAGAAATGTATCCTTACAGAATCCCACAAGAAAGGCATATACAAAGCTGATGAGACAATGAGCAGCACTTGCTCCATTGGGTGAAACTGCAAAGGATGGACTGGTGACATGCAGGTCTGTAAAAACACAATTGCTATTGATTCCATCAGAGGAACAAGGATTTGTGCAGCCAGGGGACAAGTGAATGCAGTGGTGACAAGAGAGAGTCTGGTAAACAGATTGGATGAACCAACATGCATGGGTTTCAGCTGGAATCTAGGCAGACTGTATCATGCACGTGGATGGTGAGGGTTAGACGACCAGTTTAGAGGGTGTAAGGAACAAGGACTGATGCTCAGTTTCAGTCACTTTTCTTCCCTTTTTCCCCCATTTACAGCTCTGCTTTAAAATGAGACCGCTATACACTAGCATAAGAGCTGGCATACAGCATTTACATTAACTTTTGGAATTTCCTATGGTGCAAATTATATTAGTTTTCTTTTTTTCATTTTTAAAAGTTTAAAAACTAAATGTAAAAGCTGAACCACAAGACACACCATTGCTTTGTGTGGGTGGAACTTCAAAAGTGTGATGCATTAAAATGGAGCACTAGGTTTTCAAATTTAGGCCTGTTTGGGACTCACAGAGACAGATATCACAGGCTTCTGTGAGCTATGCTGTTAATGGTTGGGTTATTTAAAATTAATCCTGGGCCGGGGGGGGTCTGAAGTTGAGAAAAGCAAAACCAAAAACAAACATTTCTAAGTGTATTAATGGTGGAGGGGGGTTCCTTGGTGTATCTGCATGCATGGCACTAGGCAATGGAGAGCAGCGAGCCAGAACGCAAAGCTGGGTTTATGAAATGCTGCCTTGTTATGCTGAGCTGAAGAAGACAAATCGAAACCTGATACTGACTTGGGCCGTGTGGCAGTGAAACTGGGGCAAAGATGGTATCACTATCTGCAAAAAGGAGAGAACAGAGACCTGAGAGAAAAAGCTTTAAGCTAAGCAGGTGAATGCAGTTTTCCTTTTACTTTCTACAGAGACATGCTGAAGTCAAGAGTCCAACCTTCATACCTTGTCAGAGTCCCAGACTCCATAATAGTAATGCTTTAAAGCTTTGTAAAACCATGGAATGCAACTGAACATCATTTTCTATATGGCCTCCAGATTATGCCTGATTACATACTGCTTTAAACATAACACCAGATGCAATGAATGTAATTAACTTCTGTCTTTTGCTTTGATGGGTTATGTACAATCTAAGACCCAATGGCCCAACTATCTTGCATTTTCTTAATCTGAAGAAAAACTGTTTGCTCAAAGGGTTTTCTCCTTTGTTTCCATGCATATAAAGTAAAGATGTCTTTAATTTCCTAACAAGATGTATCCAGTAATTACAATCATCATCATACAGCAGAAACACGGGCAAAATAAAAAAAATGTGGCCTGGGATACGAGACTCGATTAAGACCTAGAATGTTTGCCTTGTTTAATATAAGTCTGGCTTGGAATACACTCAGTGTACTATAGTGTTGAAACCTGCTGACCCACAAGGGAAGTGGTATGTGAACAATTTCCAAGGTTTTTAAGGAGGTACATTAGCAGAGCAGTATGGGTTAGTAGTTGAAAGGCAAGCAAGGTTTAGTGTAAGCAACAGACCCATTCAATCTCATGAACAACAAAGATGGTCATTCATTGGAATTATCATTAACCAACCACTGCCAACTCAGTTAATTCACATGTATACAGCAAATATGGAATCAAATGTAAATCCGGACAAGAGCTGAGGACTCAATATAACAACACTGGTCAAACTATGAAGGCTGTCCTAAAGAAATGGTCATTCATGGTAAAATAAATAACAGTAGACTAACTCGCTTTAATAACAAACAGAACAGGCGTGCAAAGTTAATTTCCATCTACTCTCTAAACCCTGTTCTTTTTTCTGATGCAGAATAATCTTAAAAGATTAGTATCCTTCATGCAAATGATTGCTTCCCATTCAAACTGGCCTGTGAAAGCACTTTCACCGAAGCCGAATCAGAATCTCATTAACTGTTGTAGTTTGGCACCACAGCTCAGACAGGCATCCAGTCAAGTATGTGATAGCACAGAGGGACAGAGCCGTAAAGTGGAAGTATAACTAGCCAACAAAGAGGAGTGTCTCAGGTTGGTAAAATGCTAGACTACAACAAAACGGGGAAATTGCAGGCATACGTTAGTACTTTTCAGGGAAAAATTCAACAATCTATACAGAAGGGCAACCTTGGAAAAAGAAAGAAGTACACCTGAGGCCTGAAGATTCAAGACCAAGCATGATTCTGAAAGACCTTAGCCTGCATCAGGCTTAGGGCTGCATAATGCTTTCTCTCCGATACAAATTAACCCGCAGACGTACATCACCAACCTTTGATATGTAAAATCTATCCTTGCTAGCTAGTGCTATTTTTCTAGGGAGAAGTGAAACTGAATCATTGTTTCAGTGAAATAAGCTCATTTAAAGAGCACGTGTCGATCCCCCGGACAGGCGACCCAGACCTACTGGAATGGAAGGGGCTGGGGGGGCCAGAGTCGAACACGCTGCAGATGTCGGTGGAGCTGGAGGCCCCGGAGGCGGGAGGCGGCGTCAGTGGCGTCCGTGGGGAGTTGGGGGCTGATGCCGTGCTCTCCGTCTCGCTGTCAGGGATGCGGCTGTAGCTGATCTTGCGTGGCTCGTTCTGCAGAGGGGTGGGGTGTCTCATCGTGCTGGGCCTGACGCTCGAGGGCCGTACGCCGGGAGACTTCAGAGGACAGCTGTATTTCTTAGGCTGTGGCACACGGCAAGAACAGAGAAGAAAAGAAAAGGTCACATTGAATTAGAATGACCTGGTGTTAAAGTCACCCAATCCAAAGTGAAAACTGAACTATAATATAAACCTTATTTTTATATAGCAACTTTAAAAGTGGCTTCTCAAAGCGCTTTACAGAAAGACACAGTGAGAGGTGGTAGCAGTATTAAACAGTTACAGAGAGGGTTTGAAATACAGATGGCAGGCAAAGGGGTAGACTCAGAACCAGTTTAATAAATGCCCTTCTAAAGTAGATGGTTTTAAGTCTAGATTTGGAAGAGCTCAGGGAAGGTGACACCCTGACATCCTCAGATTTGGAATTCCAGAGCTTTGGAGTGCAGCAGGAGCAGAGCCTATCACCCACTGAGTGAAGACGGGCTCAGGGGACAGACAGGAGACCAGAATTAGACGAGCAAAGGTAGCAAGGTGGGGAAGAGGATGACAGTAACTCAGATGCAGAGGTGCCAAACCATGCAGAACCTTGTAGGAGAGCATGAAGATTTTGAAATTGACACGAAACCTGATAGAAGCCAGTGAGCCAACACTACTTTCTTTCTTTTTTCTGGTATGACAAAATTCTTGTTGGTCCTGTTTTTAGTATGTCTTAATATTTTTTGGGTTGGCCTATATGGAAGATGATGGGCGACAATGGATTGTGGCTGTGTGGTATTTTCCTTGGGGTTGTGCACACATTTAATAGATTTTGTATTAAAACAGAATATTGATATTCACAAACATTAAGAAGTAACCCTGCATGGCATTAAAGGAAATCATTAATTCATTCCAATGTTACTGCTAATTCTTAACTCCCACTGACAACTACCCGATAATAAATATCCTAAATTAAATTACTGTCAAAACAATAAATACTTACAAATCGAGGTAAAGACCTGGCGTTCCGAGGCTCTATTTCCAGAGACTTGTTGAACAAGTAGTCTGCAAACTCCTTTTCCATTTTGTCTTCCATTGGGTTCAAGTTCTCAAAGAACTTCTGTGTTTCAGATAAAGCGAAAAGGAGGATGAATGACCAGAAATGACAACTTCTCAGGCTAAATGCAGTATAATTAATCGTCACAAATCAACAAAGAGTAAATATGTATGGTGATAAATTGTTGTTCCCACACAGAATAGGCCAAAACACAATCTTCAATTATTTTTTTAAAAATTAATTAAATGTTTTATTACAATAAAACATTATCAGTCATGGGTTCTTAACCAATGGGTCGGGTCCCAGAAACACTTCCTTAGCATTACCCAGGAAAACTGAGATGTAAGAAGGATGTGACCTATTATTTATGGACCTTTGCTACAAATGTTTAAGAACCCATGACTTAAGTGATAAAAGCTGGAGCTGTGACTATTTAAAATTTATATTCTAAGAAAACTGTATTGTAGACAAAGTTAGCTTCTGCTACTGGGGTAGCTGTAACATCAGAATTATTAGTTTGGTGCCAGAAAATGTCCAGTTTTGCTTTGAATGCGCCTATACTTACTCGGATTTCATTTTCTACCCGTAAACAATAGGGCTGGTTCTGATACTGCTGGATCTCTCCTGTAATTTCTGCTACTTTCCTCCTCTTACTGAAGTTTATCAGCTCTTTGCCATGTCTCTTCAAAAAATCTGGATTTCCTTCCTCTGTCTTCAGGATATTTGTTAAATAAATTCCTGGAAAAATAAATCAATATGACTTATTTAAACACAAAATATTGCAGGTTCACTGTGGAAAACTGTGGTTCTAGCAGTGCTTTAGAATGTAGTGCCATACTGAAAGGATCTACTGCTGTGTTGTGCTGTTCACACCACCCGCAGGAACAGTTTATTTGCTTTGCAGAATTTGGGTCAGAAACTTCACATCTCAAAAAGCCGCACATCACACATGTGAATTCATGCAGATTTCCACTAATGTTTGGTTTCTTTTAGCTAACTGTATTTGAAAAGAATAAGCACAAATTGTCCACAAAGTCCACCATGTCCCACCATTGAATTATCAGAAAAGTGGTAGGACACTGTAGGGCAAAGTGGGCCTTACAATCTGGACACCGTGGGCTAAGTCCTCAGTCAATCAGACCTTAAAGTCCTTTCACAGGACCAACTTACCAAAGAAAGGCACACATGGTGGATTTATAGACCTGAGTTTTGCCAGATACTTCTTATAGTGGTCCTCACTCAGCTCATGGGCTTCCTCCAGGATCTTCTTCTGTCGGCTTGGGATTTGCTGCAGAAGACAGCAAGGATTCAGGCATTGTTTAGCATACAAAAGCATCACTCCCTGCTCACTTGTTTTATATGGCTTTTTATTTGCAACATTACACTTCTACTTTTCCTTTCTATCCTGGAATTCGCATGTTGGCATTTACATCAAGCCTCTCCTCTGCTCGTACATTGAAATTATATTACAAAATGTATCCTTAAAGACATCCAATGAGCAACAGTATTTTTCCCCAACAACACATCTGTCAGAAGGTGCAGCCTCTTTATAAATACTTCGTTTTTTACTTCGACTTACAGACACAAAAAGAAAGATAACATAGGCTAAATGTAGGCTACGTTCGATTCAGTTCCTCTAATCATTAAAAGATTTCAAAAGTCTTATTCACACAAATTCCTAATTAATATTTATACTATTGCTGCACCACAGATTTGTTTTGTAAACTTTTTATATATGAAACATGTTGCATAATTTGCTTAAATATTTATAAATCTCTTTCACCTTACAAGGTGGGGAACATTTTGCACTAAAAGTCTTGATGCATCTACTGCTCCTGCTCAAGCCCCGCTCTGGCCAGCCTAGGCTGGTGTCTGTACCTCAAAGGTGTGATCCAGCCTGTAGACGGGTGAAGAGTTCATGGCGCTGACCACCTCCAAGACGCCGTTGAAGTTATTGAGTTCCTGGAACACCTGCAGGATCTCGATGATGCGTGACACTACCGCCACCCGCTCTTCCAGGTTCTCAGTCTCTACGATGCACCTGAAGATGATGAGGGCAGAGATGTGAGCTCAACACTGAGGCCTCAGACCTTTTCTTTCACAGACACTAGGCCTCAGGACTGACTACAAGGTGCCCATGAGCCCTCAATGATGAACGCTCAAACATTTTGGTACTTTCTGGGGGGGGTATAAGGTTTGCCACTATCCGTGATATCTAGCTGATTATCACAGCTTTAAAGCTTCTACAACTGACCACAGATATTGGTAAAATCACATTTTCAGTAAAAACACTGACAGCTTTCACTGGACCAGTGATTATAAAGTACGATCTATTTTATTTCCTTTCCATTTTTATTTTGATGGCTCTTTTTCTTTATTATTCATGACTTCCTTAGTTCTTTTAAGATGAAAGGCAAGCATGTAACTAAGTTTCACTGTGGTAAAATACCACAGTTTAAATGTAAGGTTAAAGTAGGTTTTAATAGGTTTAAATGTTAGGTTTGCATTTATCATTTTTACCGCTGGATACTAGCTACCAGTGAAATAATGCTAACAGTTTGTATTTTTTTCTTTCACAGCTTCAGATGGCAGTAGGAGGAACCATTGTCCCAGCTATGCTGGACTGCGCAGACACTTGTCAGTCAGACAGAAAGGAAGCAGAGTGCAGTTGAATCTACAGAGCTCTGTAATGCTGTGACAAAGCTGCCCCCTACTGGAAGTCCATGTCCTCAGCATACAGAGGAAACTACCAGGGGAAGATCCAGGCTCCGAGAGGAACTGCTGATAGGATGCTATGTCATCATTTATGGAAGATGTACAAATTCACCGATCTGGAGGGGCCTTCAGTGTCAACAAACTTGGTAAGAACTAACTTTGTCCACACAGATGTCTTATAAAAGTAGAGCGCTACGTACCCTAGAATATCCCTGCAACAGAGTTTACCAACAGTTCCTAAAACTTGAGTTCCAATTTGATTTTGCTGTCTAGTGCTGTACTGCTTCTAATAAAGCATTCAAAACTTACTTCTCAAACCACAGGGTGAGGTTGGTGGTGTGCCTGATCATGCGAAGGAGGTTGGGAGAATTCAGTTCTTTGTCTTCCTTTGTCCACACACTGCCCACCAGTTCTGACGGCTGAACAGCCCTGGTGCGAGAATAATTTTTTCCAATTTTTTTGTATTGCATTTTTGTAGTTGGAATAATCCAGTTACAAAATGGAAATCGGTAGTTCTTACATATCCTTTGGAATTACAGTGGAGATAAGCAAGTAATGGCAAAATTTGCCAAGTTTGTACAAGTGATTTGTGTTACGAAACAGAACTAAATATCTACAGTATTTATTCAGATAAAAAGTTTATCCCACTGGCTCTTTGGACCGGTGGTATATAACACTTTGTTGCTGTTTTTCTAGTAGCAGAAAGCAGGGACAAAAAAACTTCTGGTTAGACTTAGATAAATCCTTTTAAGTTTGGCCTCATATTCTCGCAATGTGATTTTGAATTTCATGATACCTACCAATAAGAACATCCCAAATTCTGACTGCTTTGTTGCACTGCCATTCGTGACTGGCCCGTGGGAAAAAGCAGTTAGGAAAGCTACGGTATGCTGAAACATCCCTGGGCACAGCGCACACTGTTTTTTCCCACAAGCTGAGCAGTTTATTAAACTAGTTAATTGTGTCCTCATATCCCACCTTAGCTTGTGAGTGTGAGTTTTTTTTTCTATTATATTGTAGAGAATTGCTTTTTCTTTTTTGTTTAAAGTACAAACAATAGGCAGCTGAACAACAAACAAAAATACTAACAAGAGCCAGCAATTGTGAGGCCAAGGTCAAGATTCGAGTAAGATTTCCTGGGAAAATCTCAGGATACTGAATGAAACCGTGTATAAAATCCCTTCCTATCGTTTCATACCTTTGAATAAGAAGAATTAAATTTCAAGTGCAGTATAATTTACATGGCAAAATGTAGTATTTGGATACGTCATACATATAATGTGTATGGCACAATAAATCGTTGTAAATGTACTCAGCTGGCCTGCAAAGTGAGACTTAACCTTATCAAACTTAAAAAAAAGTGCAGTGTCTGAAAATATAACTGTTGGGAAAACTGAACATATAAATATGCACATAATTATATAACATCATTACTGCACTAACAAAGCTTCTTACAGTTAAGTAACAAGTAATAGGTTTATTAAGTCTGGTTATTCTTGTGATATGCTTGTGTTGCCACTATTCTGATGGAGAGGCCTTTGATGTACCAACAAAGGGGAAACAAGTGATTCTCTCGAGCAACATGCAGTTTGAGTGAATGAAAACAAGAATGGGCTGAACAGATGTAATCAAGAAGGTTCACCCGAATATGATGAGGGTGCGAGGGAAGAGTAAATACCTGTAGAAGTCTGACTCCAGCAGAGTGAGTTGCCGCGCGATCTCAATGGGGTGAAGGGTCATCAGGTCAAACTGGTCGATCTGACCCGGTTTGCTTATGTGCCACTCAATAGGGGGAGGGGGGTTCTCGAAGGTAATGTTGTGACTTGGCCCGTTCGCTTGGACCTGTTTTTTCCTCTGAATAATTTTGGTGATTGACTCCACCCACTTTCTCATGGCCTTGCCTGACAACGAAAAGAGAGCCAGTCACACCACGCCGCACCTCAGCAAACCTGTCATTCCAGGGCTCTCAAGCCGCAGCTGTATTGGATTGGCAAACCTAATGTATGCATTGAGAATATCACAGCTTTTGTCCATTTCACTGTCAACATTGTCCATGCTTAAAATAAAAAGGCACTATAGTTAGCATCAGAACTTTCTTGATTGTTGAGAATTAGATCTTTAAGTGTAATATTTAATTGACTCCGTGCATTTGTACTTATTGCAGAATACATCATAGTCAACAGGATTTTAAGTTCTTTTTTAAAATAAAATGAGGAACTGTGCTTCTACTGGTACTACAGTTGTCTTTGTATAATTTTTGTTTGCAAAAACGCACATGGGTATGGGTTTATGTAATGACCTTTTTCAATATGCCTCACTTGCACTGCTACAGTGACATCCAAAGAAACCACAACACAGAGCACTGCCTGTCTGCTTGTTATTCATACCTCTGACTGTTCCAATAAATTCTTCCAACCGCTGCAAGAGTTCTGCATCTCTTTCAAAATCATAGAAGTGGTGCTCCACCCAGTGGCGGCAGACATTTAAAACTCTACAGGAAGAGACGAGATCCAAAAGAAAATGTCAGGTACAATGCAGTATAATTCAGTTGCAAGGCAAAGCTAATCTCTAGTTATCACTAATTTACTACTTAGTAATGTGCAATTTCTCCATTTTAATATATTTTTTTTTTAATCCACCTTAAAATTGGTACGTCACAGTACAACATATAATACATGTTTGACGTCTGTCGTCTGAACTTGAAAAACCAACCTGCCTGCTACCCTTTCACTGGATAGTCAACACTAACACACTGAAAAGAAGTGTTTGACTTCAAGTAAAATTCAAACCCAGACAATGTGCTTCCATGTATGCCTTTTATGGGCTTGTGAAATTGTATAGGGTTAAATTCTGACATTTTTCCTGTCTAGAAAAGGGATGTGGAGGGAGAGGGGTCAGTGATGCTGTACTGCAGTAATGCTCACCTGAGCTGTACTGGCTGGACATACTCTTTCCTAAAACGTTTGTGCTCGGCACTAAGGGGCTGGTCTCCGTTTTCCATGGTGAACTGGTCAGTCTCCATGGGTCTGGTCTCCGGAATTTCGAACCTGTCAGGCAAAGAAGGGAAAAACCAGTCACCTACTTCTGCTGATCGCCTATACTCGCAACTGAATGAACAGACTCTCAGAGTGGCGGGCAGTCAGCCCTGATCTGAACAATCCTCTCCTAATCTGAACAATCACCAGTTTTCAACCCTATTAAGTACCTGTACAATCCTACATACTAATACGGTACATTACAACCTCAGCTGAAGGCAATCTTGCTCAAAATACATGATGGGAGTGGGCTGCAGATATTTCAAAGCTTGTGGAAAAACATCAACCCACATCCTGTTCATGCTGTTCCTGCTGATCAAGAAGGCCGCTCAGGTTATTCAGTGGTAGTAAGGCCAGAGGGGTGGGGGCTCAATCCTAATGTTTCAGCCAGTAAGTGTACAAATGCAGTGTTTCCCAGGTGCAAAAAACCCTCATCATCATGGATTATAAAAGCTTTGACTGCTTCACACTGCATTCCCATTAGTGATATCCTAGGATCTAAATTCACGCTTAGATGAACCCATTCCTGGCGGTCCAAGTGAACCAGAAGGGCTGGGACTGAGAAATATCAAGACATGGAAGTGCACCATGGGTAATGGTGCCTTCTGGGTAAAACAGCATTGTCGATGTTACTGAATAACCTGTTCATTCGGTGCTGTGGAACATGCCCAGCCAACCTGGAGAATACAGTCTAGTTATTTTTCTTGGTTCTTATTCTTTTTATTATTAGCGCCTAGTTCTTTTTCTCCTCCAACAATATGACTCACTTACCGTTCTATTAGAAGAGTAAGGAGCTCCTGAGGTTTGCAAAATGATCGATATGTTGTCAAAAATGTTCGAACAAAGTTTGGATCTGAAACAGGAAAAAAAGAAATCCCTTTAGATGTATTTTTACATATCATTACATAACAGACAAACCCTCTCTCCCTAGGCAACTAAGCAGACAGGCTTCTTCCTAGTATTCAAGATTATTACCCGACTTCTATGTACTAATAAGCACTAACCAGAGCAAGAGGTGAGGGTCATAAATCATATGTGTAAACAAAGAGCTGAATGGGTAGAAATGCCCCAGATGGAAAATGTTTCTTTTTTTATTCCAGAACAAATTTAACCATTCTACTGCATTCAAGTGAGGGGAAAAAAGTAATTTCCAAAAAAATAATAATGTGCTGACTAACTTGGAAGGATTTATTTTTATAAACTTTGCCTTCTTACTGTGTGCTTGTTTCAGGTACACTAGGGGATCATGGTGTATGGTACAATAAACCCACCAAGCTGCTTAAGGATCCAGGACATTGGTGAACCAGGGGGTTTAGTTCACATGATAAATCTCCAGCAGCCCTTTCAGTGGGGCTGCCGAGGAACAATAGCAGGTTCGGCGCGGATTTCCAAACAATCAGCCTGGAATTATTTCAGAAAGGAAACAGACGCTATGCTGACGCACAAACCTGGCTCAGACACATCAGAGATCTTAAAAATAGAACTGCCTTCTAATCTGCACAATTAAGCAGCAGCCACCACGCTGTTTTGGGAGTTAAAAGAGAAAAAATTCTCAACACCTCATGTTAGTGGATTGCTTTCTCACAAATGCAGAGAAAATTGAGTAAAGGATAACTGTCTTTATAGCCTGTTTGTCTTCACCCAGGACTCACAGAAAAGTAACCCAGGAAAAGAAAGATTCAGAGCTCACTTGGGGAAAAAATATTTTCCTCCTGCTCCAAGTAGGGCGCCCAAGGTTGATCTGTTTAGGACAGGAAGCACCTTTTTCCCCTTCAAATTAAAATAACCTCACAATTCATTTTCCTGAAAAGGGCTGCTTCCCTTGACCTGTTAGGAGCCAGTAACGTACTGTGAATTTAAAAAAAATAAATAATGTGTTTATCTTTGAGAAGACTGAAGAAACTGAAAGCGGGACTTTAAAAACAGAACATTGAGATAGGCCACTGAAAAAATCAAACTGATACAACATCTTAGATTTTAGTTAAAAGCCACTGAGAAGACTCATATCTTCAGCTTAAGCAGATCAAAGAGTAAAAGGTAAAAACCCCTCAAACTACATTTTGAGGTGTTCAGGGAAAGCTTATTATTTGTCTAGTGAAATGTGAAGAGATGAAGGTACTTGTGCTGATTGAACAGGTGTCTTACAAAAATATATGCTTGTTTAAAACACACAACTTATATTTTTAAGCTTATCTAAAAAACAGAGAAGAATTCAGTAAAACAAATATTCCTGAATCAATTTTATACTGTAAATGTTTCAGTAAAAAATACTGACCAAGACTCACTCAGCTATGACTGCACAGCTCTTTTGAGGACAGCATTACACACATTTGGATTTTATTAACAAGTATTATACAGGATACAGAGCTGCTTTAATTTAGGGAGCTAATGGGGTTAAGTACAAAAGTATAACACTAATTAACACACGGCTAGTAACAGCCAGACAGTGCACCACCTTTTATGTGTCACAGCAGAAGGTTCCAGAAAGTGTTTCTGCCTTATCAGCACAGTCATAATGTTATCAGACCCGAAATGACTCTAAAACAAGACGGGTCATCAGATTCGGAGCACTGACGTCCAATAGCTTTCCAAATATTTATAGAGCGTGCAAAAAGCTTTAAATAGTACCCCACTGACGAAAGCCCTGGGAAAGCAGGAGGAAATGTACATTTTCAAATCGCATTAAAAACACAGGCCTCTTACAGCACCCAGCATGTTCATAAAGTTAAATGTTTTGTCTGTGTACACGACACGATAGGACCCAGCTGGTACATCTGACTAACTCAATGTGTTGTGAATGCTTTTATTACCAGTCATACTGCTAATTCACAATTTATATAATCTGAGTCAACCTAAAATGACAACAAACATGCACTGAATTTTTTTCCATTCAATGTGGTTTGTCAGCATCTCTACACCACAGCTTCTAAAACTTACTTTCTTTCCAGAATATGTAGTGCATTCATCTTTCAGGTAATAATGTCTAATAAAGATTTAAGCACATTCAGATCAACTAGAAAGATTATCCTGAACTTCACAACATTATATTATAAACACAGCTTACTGACATGCTCTGAAGCAACATTTCATAACCTGAAAAAAAAATCATGAATGTGTACATGGTGTTGAACAACAAGAAGTTTTAATTTCTGAGCATTTAGTTAGATATTTAATTGTCAGAGTTTAAATACACAATTAAACATATCTACACTAGAAAATAATCATGGTGCCAACCTGTGATCTATGTCTTACTCCTACTTCCTATAACAGTCATTCATTTGTAAATAATAAAACACTAAATTGAAAAGCATTTGTTAGTGTCTATTTTAGCTATTTACTGAAATAACGGAGTAAAAAAACATTTTTTGCCTTCCCTTTGTGTTTCTTATCAATGAAGGAAATGTTATTGTTCTCCTTTAACAACTGTCTCACAGGAATTCCATTATATGACCTAGGGTGACTTTGTTTAAATAATTTTGGCCTGAAAAACATACTTGGAGTACAGAGAGGGAAAAAAAACATATGCTTTAGACACCCAGCAGGTACACAACACTGAAGTGTTCAGTATCTCATTTTCAGAAACCAAGGTTATTCAAATCTCTCAGACAATGATGTACTTTATTTGTCTTCTTTGTGTTAGGGGGAGATGCGGTGTGGATGGGAATTTGCAAACACTGCTACAGGCTGTGCAACCAGGACACTTATAGCTACAGATATGGATACAGCCTGCAGATAAGCCTTAGAAGAGAAGAAAGCGCAGGGAATGGATCCTTGCTTTGAGGGAGGATTCTGACTTGGAGGCATTCAGTCCTAAATCCACAGATGGCACCATTGACTCCTCAGTCAAGCACAGACACCAATGTCTGAACCTGTAGTTAATCTCAAACTGAGCAGGATCACTACTGCTACTAAACATCATCAGTAGGGTAAAACAAGCCTTTCACACATCAAACTCACAGATACGTGAACACACCCCTACCCGTCTCCTGTCTGCACACGGACAGCTCACCTGCATACATGTGGTAAGTTAGCCTCTCGATGAGCTTGACAACCGTGCCGGCCTTGATGATGGGGATGCCCGACTTGGACTGCACGTTCTCCTCAAAGACCACATTCTCCTCAGAGTCTGGCTCGGCAAAACGATACACCTCGGAGCTAGGCAGCCGCAACTGCTCCTCCTTCTCCTCCTGTGACATGGTAGCGTCCAGCATGCGCTCCAGCGTGGATCGATACTGCAGCGAGATCAGGGCTGCCATCCAGCTGTTCTTCTCCTCCGCCGACTTGGCGGCGAACACCACGCTGTTGCCATCCTTCAGGATGATCTCGAAGGCGTGCCGGTACTCGCCTTCCTTGTCGTCCTTGTCATTGATTTGTACCTTGCGCATGAAAAACTTCTCTTTCAAGCGGTATTCGGCGGGGCTGGCCCCCGGCAGGCGAGGCTGCCCGTGGTTGGACTTGCAGCAGATCATCAAGCCGTCGAAGAGGAAGATGTGGCGCTCGTGCTTGGCGCCCACCCGCGTCAGCGTGCCCTCCATGATGAACTCGTTGCAGCACTGCCCGATGTCTTTGCCCTCCCATCCGTCGATGTTCTTCTGGATCTCGTTCATCTTCTTGATGGCTAGGTGCTTCCCCTTCATCTGCTGGCTGTAGAAGCGGCAGGCCGACTCGCTGGGGAAAGCCCAGTCAGAGAGAGACAAGGGAGACACATCAGACCTTGAATTTAGAAATCTGAGTCTTGTTTTCTATGTAGGAACCAGAAATTGGGGACCAAGCTTATGGCAAATGCAAGATCCCTGTATAATAATAAAAAAAGATCAAATATAGCAATACAAACAAAAAAATCTTTTGGGAAAGGCCTACAACCCTCTGCGTTATTTTATTTATTTTCTTCCTTATTCTATTGTTCACTGAGGGTTACCTTAAATGTAACAATATTTATTAACACTGCACCTGATCACCTAACACATACGCATCCAGAAACCCTGGAGGTCATGTTCAGGATGATAAAACGCTCCACAGTATTGTGTCACGGTTATCTCCTTTCTCCCAATCAGCTCTGAGAGCTCGTTTTGCTGTGGTACTTAGATACATGGAAACACAGAAATAAGCCTTAAAAGAAACTATCTTAAATAATAAAGGGGACTAATCAGGATAGAAATGACCAACACAGGCAGCAGTACCTATTGCTTCAACAGAGTGATGACCAAAGCAGGGTTTTCAACCATTGTAATGGATAAAGAGGCTGCCAATTCACTCATCCTCATTCACCCAAATACTTTAAATACAGCTATAAGTCTGACAAAAAAATATCAGCTTTGTGCGCACTCAATTCTGGAAACCATCCTGAAACCTTAAACATTTAGAAACAAGCAAGCAAATGCAAAAGACTCATATGCCCATACACTACTGTATGTGTAAGCAATAAGCACACCCATTGCCTGTATATTTAAAAAAAAAACAATGCATAAGAAAAATAATAAGCTGATCATATATAAAGTATATAGCATATATATAAGCAGAACTCTGAAAGAATAATAATGATTAGCAGCAAAATAGAAAAATATAAGTTGCAACAAATAACCTTTATTCAACAGTTTATTCTATTGCTTAATTGAGAATAAAAATAAAAGTAAGCTTTTCATACTTGTTACACTCTTAAGAGTACCCCACTGAAACGTTTCTGGGGGAAAAACAATCGCACTGCCATAGCGTGCCCTCTTCCACAGAGGAGCAGTTCCATTCCACTTTCTTCTGCTACTCAACCTCTACCCTCACCCCACACAGAAACAAACACATACCGTAGGACAATCCATTCTTTCCCCATAAAAAAATAAAATAGTTTAAAAAAGCAGCAAAACAAAACTTCTATACCCTACATCCTCATATCTGATGCTCTCTGCCTCCTTACCAGCCAAAGCAAAACAAAATAAGAAGAAGAAAGACTGAAAAGATTAAAAAAAGAAGAAGAGAAGGGGACAAGAAAACCCGGTTTCCGAAGAGGGTTTGCTGGACTGCCGCTTGCGGGCGTTCCGTTTTCACTTGGTTTCAAGTCTGGAGAACAATAACCGTGAGCCTGCTGGCTTGCATCCTGACGCCACTTCCTTCTGACAACCAAGCCGACCTGCCAATGAACAGTCCAAACCCACCCCCGCCCCAGCTTCCCAACCTCCAGGCCTCCCTTCCTCCCGCTCCTGTAGGAGAGGGGGAAACACCGGACTGGGCTGGACGAATGGCCGCTCGGGCCCGGCGGGAGGAGGAGGTGGCGGTGTGGGGGAGGGTTAACACTAAGGCAGCGGCTCCTACCTCAGCCTCCTCTTGGCCAGACTTTTGGAGCAGATCCTCTCCATGCTGCTCTGCAGGTTGAGCAAGGCGGTGATTGCCTGCTTCAGGCACTCCTTGTCCTCTTCATCCTCGCTCTTCTCCTCTAGTTGCTGTGGGGACAAAGAGCAAGGGAAAAGGAGATCTGGGCAATCAGGAGAGTCCCACGAGGGGGACGACAAGCTCACATTAATCCCCTTCATGAAGAAGGCCTTAACAGCACACAGGAAAACACACTCTCCATTTCTGGCTGGTAATCACTCCCCCTGAAAGCCAACTGACTGACTTATGGAATTGTTACTCAGAGAACAGGGGAAGAAATTGGGTCAACTATCAAAGCAACTGGAATTAATAGTACTTTACCACATTCTAAGATTGTGAAGTCCATTGTGAAGTACAGGGAACTTATTCTGTCAAAAAATTACACTATATCCCACATTTCCACCTTTGTCCCTAGTTTAGACTCTGGAATTCTAGTATTGTTAGAAACATTGGTGGTATTCCGAGTGTTCATACCATGAAGTACTTTTCTTTAAAAAAGAATTACAAGACAACGAGAAACTGGGTAAAGTGGGAAATTACAAAAACTAAAACATTTTTTAATATTATTGATAAACACAAAGAAAATGTAACTTGGATTCACTTATGTTGAACATGAGATACAAATATTTCTCACAGTCACTCTAAACACGTGAGAAATACCTGTGAAAAATAACTTTTTATCACTTTAAACAACACATCTGTGAAACTGTAATACTGACTTTCTTTTTTATTAGAATTGTAAAATCAGTATGCAACGTCTGTTAGACACCAGTAAGAAAAATAAATTATGTAAAAAAACTAGAAAGTACTGTACGTCATGTGGTTGTGTTCAGGATCTGCTATCAGCCAGGCACATATAAGGGGAATGCCAGTGTGCTCTGCAATAATTTCCTGGAATTATGAGTTTGAATAATACAAAAAAAGGTTTCTCCTTTACCAGTAAGGACCAGTATAAACTGCAATAGAGATTTCAGGCTTTTTTAAGACATACAAAAGATGCTTGTATTCCTAACCAATACACATCAAATATCCAAAATCAAGCAATTATGGTCACATGGTTACATACTCGTTACTTGTAAAGGCATTGACACCAATAAACTCATTTGTGATAAATATCAAATAAGCATCTGGATGAGAGCTGAGGTTCAAGTTACCAAGATTAAATATTTAAAATTAAATCAGAACAATCATACATAGGCTTGCGTTTCTTTAGTCTCTGATAAATAGCATATTTTATAGCTGTAGAGTCAACAAATGCATCAGTTTAAATTTGTTATTTTACTTAACCATGATTGACTTCTCTACCAAACAATACATTTATCAGGCTCTTTTTTACTGTCAGTTACCTCAGTTGAATCTAAATTACAGAAAAACATTTTTTGTACTTCAGAAGAGCCATTGTAATATTGATGCATTTAGAAAAAAATCCTAAATCCCATTCTTGCTATCTTTAAAAAAAAACTAACAGTATGTACGCCATACTGACAGACAGAAAGTGTTTACCTTGGAAGTAGAAAGTGAGTCATCCCTGATGCTGCTAAGTTCCAGTAAACCAACTGCTTTTTTGTTCTTTAGGTCACAATTTTTTTAGTGTGGGTAACAATGCAGAGGATAGCTGGCCTGACTGCTCCTCTGAGGTTGTGGTACTGAGAGCTACAGGCCACTGCGAACATCAGAAGACTGGTAGTGGTAACCACGGTAACCTGTCTGTGGTACTTACTACGCAAATGAAACCCATAAGGGTGACAATCACTCTACAGCACTATACAACTCCAGATGCCCTGATAAGGAGGGGTACACAGATACGTATATGTACACACACACAGACAAACACTCTGGTTATAATTAAATAAATTGTTCCCCAGGCAATTAAGACAGGTGCTGGGAGAACACACCCAAAGTACAAGATGACGGCACAAAATCTGTTCAATTGGAAATTCGTAGATTTAAAGTATGATAAAGATAATAATATATAAAACTGAAAGTTGCAACTTTAAAATTCAAAACTGTCATGATAACTGATAACCCAAATAATACAATATTTCTTGCTCCTTATTAAGTTTAGTTTTATGATGAAAGCCTTCAAAAACCCCCTTCACTATTCTAATACTTCTGATTCTTTTAGTTTCTTGCAAATGCTGTAATTAAACATGCAAATTAAGAAACTTAAATCAGTGAGCAAGAGGGCAGATAAGAACAACAACAATAATATTAATGTGCATTTTGATTATGCTTCTGGGGTTTAGGTAATGCTCAAGAATTGAAAGCAAACAGCTTAAAGGCTTAAATCTGCATTCCTTTAGATTTAAAAGGCCCATATGCAGTGTAGCGCACGAGTGAGGAGATAACAAGAGGCTCGTTGACGAGCCTGCTGCTGCACAGGTTTGACTTTGTTATTTTTTCAGTGCGACTTTTGTGGAAACAAGGGGAAGCAGAACGAAGCACCGAGTCAGCAGGCTTGGGGGCCTCTGCAATGATGTGACAGAAACCTCCTGCTCTCCCTGGAGGTTAATTAGCTAGGAGAACTGCAGCCTGGCTTGACGTACTTCAGGAGGGCACAAGGGAACAGCAGGGGAGTGGTGCCGAGAAAGAGCAGATTTCACCTGGCTTTCCACACGAGAGCCCACCTGCGCACCTTAATTATCATCAGACAGACAATATTTACAAGGAGAGAAAAGGAAGAGGGACTGAATCCTTTTTTTAGCAGTAGTAAACTGAAGAGCTAGGACACAAATATAACTGCATTAGGACTGGTGCTCTGCACACATGTACTGTAGCTAAAAGCATCTTAAACCTTTTACCAGTGGATCGGTCCTGCACATTACACTTTCAGTTAGAAGCCAAACACTAACATACTCAGAACAAAATGAGCCTCCTTTACATACAACGTGGATAGTCTATAGAAATAAAGCAATACCAGCAATACCGTGCACTTACAAAATCATTTCTAAAGTGCTCGGCTCAAGCGCAAATTTAAAAGTTTTATAAATGTAACTACAAATAGTTCTTTTAAATTGAACAAAATTGAAATTGAATTGCATATATAATTTCAATATCATTGCCTCCATCTAGTTTTGCACCTTTCAAGCTTTCTTGGTTTTTAATAACCATTAAAGCAAGTTATGCTTGAACATGTTTCTTTACATTGCTGATTTTAACAGATGTAAGACCTCTATATATCCAAATATAACTATATATCCATGTCAGCACCCTCACTGCGCGTAGCAGGGTCCCCAGCTGCCTGGGCTGGGGGAGGTCTCCTTTAGCTCACACGGTTGGTGCCCTGTTGCGTTACGCCGGAGACGCGGGTTCGCGCCCCAGGTGTGGGGGCCGGAACGGGCGGCGGGGGGCACGACCCCGCGCGGAACCATGACTGACACAAAAGCATTCTATTTTCACTGGATTACAGGAAAAAAAACACTTGGCAACTCAGCACTCAACACTCAACACTCTTCCAATATATAAGTCTCTCAAGTCACCTGGTGGTCTTTGGACTTACCTTTAAAATCTCAAAGTAGTGCAGACAGTGGTAGACAGGTGTCAAGAGCAGTCTCGGAAGGACATACTGGACTGCTTCCTTAAAACCTTCACCTATAGACTGAGACAGAAAATAACCTGATGATGTAGGACACAGGTGCAAAGACTGTGCAGCAAGGTAAGCAACTTTTATATTTAAACTTTTTGTTGTTTTATGATGTTATACAAGAGACTTTCAGTGCTGCTGAAATTGTCTGGGTCTTCTTGCTTTTGTCCTCTGTGAGCTAATATTCATTTGAAATAACTTTTCTCAATTGAGGAGAATGTTTCCCCAAGATAACTGGCTCTGTTTCATGTGATTGAACTGGGGCACATTTAGTATTAATGACTTAAGCATTGGAAACCTGTGTAACACTGAAACAGTAATAACTTATTTAAAAAAAATACCCATGATATTCTGGGCTAAGCTTGATATCCTCAGCTGAAACACATAGGTGTTTTTACTAATATTGATGTTATATTAAGGTGTTTCAGCCATTTTACATTCAACAATGTATGAGTTAGTAACTACGTTTTGATTAAAGAAAATGTAATCTGTAATCAGTCTTTCTTGAGATCTGCAGAACACTGCTGTTGCTATGAACACGAATACAGCACGGTGCAAATATCACAGAGGGGTTTCATAGCTTCTCCCAACTAATAACTCAGTATTTTGATACCGTGAAATTGTGACAGGGAGAGTACAGCTGCCTACACATGGATTACATAGCAAGGCAATACAACTGAGCACTAAATAACCCAAATTTTATTATTTTATAGTTTATTATTTTCCATTTTTATTGTTGTGTTAAAGAAGAATAATCTAACAATTATATGCAAAATTGCTTAAATATATTATCAGAAGAGCAGAAAAACAGATTTAACCAACCACTACTTGTCACAAATGATTGCCTCTTACATCCTTATTTGCATCATCTTGCATAAGCAATACATACATTTAATTAAACCCTTCTAAAAAAAACACGTCAGCTGGTCTAATTTCTCAGCAGATCAGGGCACAATGCACCTGGGCCTACCTGCAGATAGAAAGCGGCTCCTGGCTTTGACAGCTGACTGAGGAAGTGTTCATGGAAACCGAGACGGAGGATGTCCTGTGCATAGGATTCATATGGGTCGAAAGCCAGCTCCTGAAACAGCACATATTTCGAAAGTCTAGAGAAGAACAACTGGGCATATTCCCCCATCTTAAAAGGTTATATAATTCCATGTTCAATCCTGAATACTATGATGGGGCTTCATTCAAGTGTTTGAAATCATTGAATAGTTGGATTCTTGAGTGAAAACTAAGGACCAGACAGAGAACTGGAAGAACATTTTTACACAGAGGATTGTGTTTAACTAAAAGTTTCCTTTAAAAACAGATGGATGAGATCCTGAGTTGATACCTTGCTAGTTACACAATAAGTATACAGTATCAAAAGTATTCGCCCCCTTTGGAGTTTTTTCCCCTCATTTTGTCTTATGATATAGAATATCAAAGTATTTATTTGGGATTTTTTGCCATTGAGCAACATTAAACACTCTATAATGTCAAACTGAAAACAAAATTCTTCATATCCTCCTAAATTAACTATCAATACAAAACAGAAAATAAGTGATTGCAAATGTATTCACCCCCTTTTAATATGACACACCTAAATTGTCTCTGGTGCTACCGAATGTCTTTAGAAGTCACAGAATTTGTTGAATGGAGTCCACCTGTGTGCAATTAGAGTGTTTCACATGCGTTCAGGATGAATACACCTGCCTCTGGGAGGTCCCACGGTTAATTAGTACAGGTCCCTACAAAACTACATCATGCAGACAAAAGAATTTTCAAAGTAAATCTGGGGTAGGGTTATTGATAGCACCAATCAGGGGAAGGGTATAGAAAATTTCAAAAGTATTACATATCCCCCCAAACACATTAAAGACTTTTATAAAGAAAGGTAGAGAATATGGCACAACTGTGAAACTGTGAAGAACAGGAAAGTATCCAGCCTTGAAGAGCACTAGCCAGGGAGGCCACGGCAGCCATAGTGCACCAGTACGCTCACCACACATCGGCTAACAGTCGGGAGGAGAACACAGTAACGAAGCCAATTCATAGATGGGGACTATTAGGAGGCCACGATTGGTAAAGGCCAATTGAAAATTTGGCCAGGACATTGGAGTAGCACCCTACTCTTTTCGAGAAGCACCCTGGGATTTTAAATAACCAGAGAGTCAGGACCCCGGTTTTACGTCTCATCCAAAGGACGGCACCTTTTTACGGTATAGTGTCCCCGTCACTATACTGGTGCATTAGGACCCACATAGACCGCAGAATGCGCGCCCCCTGCTGGCCCTACTAACACTACTTCCAGCAGCAACCTTAGTTTTTTCCCAGGAGGTCTCCTATTCAGGTACTGATCAGGCTCACACCTGCTGAGCTACAGTGGGTTGCTAGTTATGAGCTGCAGGGTGATATGGATGCTGGATAACAAAGCTCAGGTCTTACTGGAATTTGAACCCACAACCATGGTCAGTAGTACAGAGTCTTACCCTGTTACTCTATAGACTCACATTCGGACACTTAGTAGTGTCCTCTAAGTGTCTGCCTCTCACCTCAGCCAGGTCTTCAAAGCAGCTCCCTACTAATGGGTGAGGACTCCCCTCATCCGTCATCTCCACTGTATCCTCTATCAGGCCCAGCAGCTTCAAGGTGAGCTCATGGATATCCACAATACGGCTGAAGATGTTCTCCACATCCTGATAGAGAGTTCAAGGCAGAAGGATGAAGTGACACTGTCATGATGTCACTGTAATAAAACTAATTTTGCACATACAATTTACAAACTGATTTTTTGGCAGCTTTTGAATTTAAGTTCAAAAGCTGCCAAAAAATGTAAAAAAAAATTTTTAAAAGTTTTTTTTTTCGGTGTCATATAAAAAATACTACCCCCCCCCCCCAAAATTAATAATATAAAAACATAACCTATTCCCTTTCAGTTGTGTAGCACACATGTTAACAGCTCATTCCGTCTCATACCATCCTTTCAACAGCAATGAAGGGGATAGAGGAACAAGCTGACCTACATGTAGGGAGAACAGCTTGGTGTTGGAGACAAAGGGCTCCCTGAAGACTTTGATGATGAGGTTGAGGTCCCTGAGGTACTGGCGCACCTCAGCCATGAAGGTCTTGACCAGATCATAGTAGGACTGCTCCCCGGACACAGAGGGTTCCTCGTCCATCAGTGGGAACCCACTGATGTCCTCCTCATCCTGGTGGAACATGTCCATCAACACCTGGAGGAATGGGAGAATCAGCTTCACATACTGCAGCACTATATTTGCCTCCTAGTTTAACATCTATATGACTTAGTGAGGACTGGAAAACCAAACTCAACCTTACTGATTCAAAACATAAGACAAGATCATGACCTTCATCAGTCTGTGAGAAGATGAATAATCCCAAACAGATACTTCAAATAATATCTTGAATACTCCCACTAACATAGCATCTAACACAAAACACAGAAACTCACCAGAAAAATACAGAGCATTGCCTCACTTTTCAGGTTTAACATGGAAAATGATATTTCGACCATCAGGTCTTAATCACTGGACACTTTCTGAACACGTTTTGCCAATTTCCCATTATAAAATGATATACCACAGAAGGAAGTTCAGTCTATTGACAAAACACAGAAAAGTAAATGCTTCCATGGAAACACCTTTATTTCAGGTTCATTCTAAAAATATATTTTCCTTGGAAGTGTTGTTATATTATTTACATATTAAACTTGATTTGAATGGGAAGATTCCATATCATCTCTGCTATGGACAGGCACAAACATGTCAAAACATCCAAGAGCATCTTTCAAGAAGTTAGAAAGAATTCTGTTCAGTGTGGCAATTTTCAAACATTACATAACCCAAAGGTCAAATATCCATTGCTGAGCAGATATGGTGTCTAATTCATTCGGACACTTAACCCTTGAGAAAATGCCAATCTGCATATTCAGCTATCCACTTGTATAATAGGTGAATATCTGATGTATACCTATAATACTTTATTTCACTATGTTCTGTAGAGATCTAGGATGTCGGAAAGTTCCGGCTTTTTGCTCACATGGCTTTTGCGGTAACAGGCGACTGATGAATTTGAAAGAAACCTTTTTTTGCTTTTCACTGGTCCACATGTACTGCACATGTGCAATGAGAACAAAGACAACAAGATCATCTGCTGTGTAGGGAGACATGCTGTTTGAGAATTACTAAAATCACACAGAACACCCCATGCTTTGGTGAGATAAAAGAAAGTGGAGAATCTGGATGTGTGAGAGTTTTCTAAGAAGAGAATTTATCAAGGCTTGTTAAAGAGGTTCTCACTTCAGCATGACACCAGCCTACATTTCAGCTGATCAGCAGCAGTTTTCTACTAAGCACCCATTAACTTTGATGTGACCCTGTGCTCATCTCCCTGAGGCAAATGCAGATCAGAGCATGTGGAAGGGCGCTACAGGAGGTGAGGCTGCAAGATAACACCAGTACAAGCTTGACTGACCAGAGGATACTCAATAAATGGCCCTGAAAAAAGGTGACGCAAACCCTTTTAAGGGCACTCAAAACCGCAACATTGACCTAATTCTGATTTCCTTGTATCAGATAACTATAGCACTATTTATAGGTACCGTATATTCAGCATTAAAACTGTGCAAGTGTATTTTCATACCGTAAGGCAAAAGGTGCCTGAATAAACTTGCTCCTCTTACCTTATCTGCACACATTGCCACCTTGATGTCCTGCTGGGAGACTTCATAGTGACGGATGTTTCGGACGTAATTCCCTGCCAGCTTCAGGATGTCCGCTGAAATGTATTCTAATACTGCTACAATGTAAACTGAAACTTGATGGTCAATCTTATATCCCAGAACCTCCTAGGAATTGAAAAGAAAAATAAAACAATCAAGTGAACTGAACTGAATGACACTCATGTTGAACTCTAGAAGACCATAGAGACTAGTTGTACTGTAGTGTAGCAAAGCACATTCTACTGTTCATTTAGAAAAATATAATTGTTTTTTCTAAGAACAAGTGCCAAACTGGAACAAAGCAGATACTACAGAATGCCTCACAAAGCAAAAGCAAACAAAAATCACAAAAGTGGCAAAGACGTTTGCTGTACTGTAAGTAGCATGAACCTTCAACACAACGCCTTGTAGGTACTGCTGGAGAATTGTCTGTGCAAGAACACTGGCTCCCTCTTATGTGCTAGACCAGTACTGCACTCTTCGTGGTACCAGTGTAAGGACTTATTAAAGTACATAAGAACAGTCACAAATGAGAAAAGGCCATCTAGCCCATGTGGTAGTCAGCAGCTAAATTCATTGAAACATTTACTCTAGTTATGTCTTAAAAGATGCCACAGTATTGGCTTCAACAACATTGCAGGATAGTTTGTTCCCTATTCCTTCAACATTATGTATAAAGAAGCACTTTGTGTTTATGGCTTTAAATGCACTTTAAAAGGTTAGTCCCCGCTTGTGTGTCACAGAAAGTATTTGCCCACCTTTAGCAGAGGGTGAATTTTATCTACAGGCAGGGCTAAAGGGTTCCTCCGTTTTCTCTTTTCAATAGCTGCCTGGGCATCTGCTATGGCCCACTTGTCGATGGGATGAGGAAAACTCTTCTGCACACGTTCCTGAAATTCACATTGACAAAAACATTTTTATATTATGGATGATGAATTTACAATGTCTTTATGAAATCTACATGTAGAGCTGCTCAAACAAAATATAATCAGAATCATTTAAGCTGACTAAGAGTTTTTCAAGTGAAACCAACTGCATTAATGTGCCTACCACTAACTCAATAACTGGTTCAGAATTAAACCAAATAAAAGTAATAAAAGAATACAAAATACAAGATGTGTGCATGTTGGAAAACAAGCATTTTGCCTTAAGTATATTATAAATTTAAACTCTGTTTGACTCTGAACACAAGTACAGTCAGGAGTTACACACTGCTTTTCATTATGACACACACAACAGTACACACTACACTAGAAAACACATCACCAGTAACACTGGATGAACACGGGGCACTAGGAACAAGTATGTTACAAGAAAATAAGCTAATAACTAATAAAAACAATAATAACAACAAGCTAATAGCATTCTGATAAAGTGAAGGCTAGACGAAAGTGAGTTTGTACAGACATGGTTAATTGTAACTGTGCTGTTACAGATTTACCATGCCCAGTGGTGAACCCCTTAACCACAGTGCACCTTCATAATTGGCATGTTCCTTCTGACGGCATTAAAAAACAGAACAAAACAAGTATAAAAACAACACAGAACACTTAATCAGGTATCAGAAATTAAAACTCAGCTTTCCTTTGGGCTTTAATTCGGTATAAGTTGTCTCAGACCCCACTGGGGCTGCCACCCTGTCACTAACTCCTCCCTCTGCCCTGACTGTCAGGCTGACAAGTCTCTCTAGTCCGTTACCTCACACTGTTCCTCCTACTCCCATGCCCCATTAGAAGTCATTCCAAGGTCAAGAGCATGGAAACACCAGTGGCAATGTGAGATATTAGATGCATCATTCAGGCTTTTATAGAACACATGAACACTCACAAATCTATGTTTGATTAAATATAACCCACAGAGATCTAGAAAATGAGGAGAAATTATCCAGAGTGACATACATGTACAGCTAGTCATTTTGTTGGAACAATTTGGGTGAAGTACCTTGCTCAAGTGTACAACAGCAGTCTCTCATCTGGGTTTTTAATCCACAACCTTCCAGTTAAGAGTCCAGAACCCTAACTGCCACTGAATACTCAAACTGTTTCCCCTCTCAAACCACACAGAAAATCAATTAGTTGTCAAGACTTGTGCAACACACGTTCCGTTTGTGAGACAATTCTCTCGGCATTCTCCAGCTCTCCTAAAAGAATATGTAACTTGCGTGCTAAAGCAACAATAACTGAACAACATACAAAAACCACAAAAAAGCACAAAGCCAAAATCCTTTCAGATTTAGCCACTGAAAAAAATATATATTTTCTGAAATTAAAGATGAGGAAGTACAGCTCCCTCCCTGCTTCAGAAAGGCAGTAATGCATTTAAAATGCCATATGCTCTTGCAGTAGAGATGAAACATGTAACTTGGAACACCTTCCCAGAGAGAAAAGACAATGACGATATACCATAACAAATTCATGGTTGTCAGGCTAAATTAAACAAGCAATTATTGCATTATTTTGTGTTATATCTTTAATTGTATTCCCCTTTGAAATACAATTTCTAAATTCTGATAGTACACAGTTCTTCATAGGAATGAAGAAGCATTGATTTCCTGGCACTGATGACATCTGGATTCGAAAGTCCGTAAAGTGTACTGTGGCAGTGGCATAGCCAGGATTTTGTATTTGGTGTGGGATGGACACATATGGGAGTGGCATTTTTAAATTATATTATTTGCCTTCTAAAATAGGACACACTACTAAAAGGTGCACAACTCTTCTTCTCTGCTCCAGTTGTGCGATTAACCTGTTTTCCACCGTGAGCGAGATGGAACTGACGTGCAAGCGGATTGGATTGGCGCGGAACTTGTATTCACACCAGACGAGACTCTGAAGTGCATTCTGCACAAGGAAAGGGGCTCAAACACCTTATTTCTCACTGTATTTTGTCATATTTTGATAACTTTTTGAAGAGCTTTGGTGTCGTCACGTCCCTGAGCCACAATCTTGCACAGCTGTCACTGAGCTGCATGAGAATGATCTAGAACAGTGGTTCTCAAACTGAGGCACAGGTACAACTGGTGGTACGCAGAGCGCCACCATGTGGTATGTCAGATGACCCTGGAAATTTGTTGTGTGCACTGACAAATTGGGAATTAAAAATTGAATCATTAAAAATTGTCAATTTTTCATCTGTAATATACTTAATTGGTTTCAGAAAGACGGGTTTTTATATTTTCTATTTTAATAAAATTAGTTTGTGTGTCACATATGCAGCCTACGTACTTAGCTATGTCCATACAGCACGTGCTAATCCTTGAGTGGACACACGGGCTACTATGTATAAACCATTGTATAGGAATGCGTGCTACGCACCTAAGTGACCAATTGTATTAAAATAAGTTATCTTTAGCAAATAGGGAGGTAAGACAATGTGTGTGATATTGGAACACTGCCAATCTTGTAAGCACAGGGAAGCGTGATAATAACAAGAAAATATTTGGGACTGTTCTAGGTTAATTACTTTGAGAAAAATACGCTTAGCATCTCTGTGTGTTTCACTCCCATGAGCGTGAAGTAAAACCTCTTTTAACTTCTGAGACAGACTCCTGACTGTCTTTTAAGGTGAAACGGGGGAAACATGATAGAACATGAATACCTCGATTATACATCGGCCACAGACACTAGCTCTGCTGCTGAACCGGACACAGACAGCACTGCCATTGTTAGCAAGCATCAGTAAATGGCTACAAGGCAGTACGATCCAATTTATCATAATCCAAATGATCATTAAAGTGCTCAGTGCTATTTTTATTATATGTGTGTGTGAGTGTGTGTCTGCGCACGCGCTCATGTTGGTCATTGAGATTTTCTGTGGTTCCTATGAAAAGATGACTTGTAGGTGATACTTTGATGCTTTTTTTGATCAGTGATGGTTCTTGATCCACAAAAGTTTGAGAACCAGTGATCTAGAACAATCTGCCGCATATTCGCCCACACCAACCATTTACAATATAAGCTTTACGTACACTCATACAAATACATTTAAGACACGTCGTAATTCTTTCCTATGTTTATATTTTCTTTAGCTCGCAAATTTAAAGCAATATGGGAATTCAGGTAACGTCTGAAATGGAGTGGCAAAGCCATATTTAGGGGTGGCAATGGAGCTACCCTCTAGCTACAACTCTGCTTCCAGGCCTGCTGGAGTCTGCATTCTGTCCAACAAAAGCTGGAACACCAAACTGTTAAGTGGATGGGCTTACTGCAGCCCAGGTAGTGGGCGCAAGGGATGCATATGTGTTCAGTGAAACAGAAGCAATCAAACAGAAAAGTATGCAGGAATGAAGCAGTGCCACGTGGCCCTCCTCTGCAGAACTCACCTCCACATCCTGCACAGTGCGTGGCTGAGCCTGGCAAAGCATGCTGAGTAACAGCAGGATGAGCTCCTCGATGTACTGCAAGGCATCCTCCTTCGAGGAGAGATTGGGGTGGACCTGATTCAACACCTAGCACAAGGAAACAGTGAGAAAAGAGTGAGGACAGCTGTGGCTTTAAGGTCCTGCTTATATTAGTGACTCGCAAGGTCCAGTCTCAGAGAGCCACTAATAGTCTAGGTCCTTCTAATCCAGCCATCATGTGAGCATTGATTATTAAATCTTTAAATCTATGCATTTGCATATTCCGAAACCTTAAACAGTTATGGAAATAACTCATGGTGCTACAAGATAGTGTCGTTTTTTTCTGAGAATAGAAAAATCTGAACTTGTAGTGCAGTCAGATGTTTTCCTAATACCTGAGCTTACCATTTTAAATTACATCAAAATTTGCTACTGGCCTCAATCACCACTTTTTTCAGCTTTAACCATTGAGGATTTGAAGAGTTCTGAGAGAAGGAATAAGCACTGTTGCTTTAGTAGGTATGGAGATGCATCACTTGAATCTTCCTGCTGTTTCAGTTGTGACTTGTCACTCTAATTAATGTATACTGTGCTTCTTGTTCACTTTCTGCCTACCCAACCAATTGTTTCAGTGAAAAAGTTTTCCAAAAATCTTGCATTCCCATACAACCCTTCAGGAACGTAACATGAAGGTTTATTCCATTCTGAAAGGAAAAGAACAAGGATACAATGCTTCAGCTGTGAAGCCTTCTTCAGGTGTTGACAGCCTACACATGCTGACGCAGCTAACTGCTTGAACGGCTTCAACTCTTCAGAAAATGCTGCTATACACAGCACATAGTAAATGCTCTTATCATTATTAGAAAGCAAATGCAGACTGTTTTCCCAGATGGCACCTTTTTACTTCTATGATTCTCCGCTGCACTGAATATTTCCACATCTAACATACAAGAAAAAAAATCAGCTTCTTGGAACAAAACCTGGAACTGCAAGAAGCAACAATGCTCAATTCGCAATTTTGCCAAATTCTCGCAGACAGAGCATGAATAAGCAAGAACCCTTTTTTTGTACGGAGTATTTCTGTTATATTTGGCAGAAGTTCAAGAGCCAGACAGGATCATCATAAAGTTTCAGCTTTATCAGCACAAGCTTCTCCTGCTACAGCATGGCCATTCACAAGACCCCAGGCCTCATTAGGAACAGGAATGAGGTTTTGGTGACAACACTGATACAAGCCCTGTTACAAGTACTTCTGAAAGAAAGAGACAGAAAAACAGCTCTGACAGACAAGTCTCAGCAATGGTCAGCATGATGCACTTACAAAGAGTTACCTGGGAAACAGAGTCTGCAGAGATTTGGAACTCTGTCAGTGAAGGCCACATTGTATAAACTCTGATGTAACAGTACTGTACAATTGCTGCTGATTTTCATCATAACAATGCTCTGTAAACCGATGCTGGCATCTTATTCTGGTTCATCTCACTGTGAAGTCAAGTGGCTTCTGTAACTTCAAAAGCTGCGATTTTTTGTCAAAGATAGTTCAGCAGTGTTTTCAGGTAAAGAAAGCAAGACAATTCTAGTCCTGAGCACTATAAAGGTTTTTAGGATTCTTTCCACCTAAGACCTTAATTTTCAAAGTGAACTATTTTACTGAACTACCTGGCCGATGAAACGTCTGAGCACAGTTCACAAGTGGAAAATGCCTATAAATCCTGCGGTGTTACTTGAAATGCCATATTGTTTTAAATTTACCAACTAAAGAAAACAAACAATGGAAAGAATCACAACCAGAGTAGTGGGCTAGGGATAATCACTTCACCAGACAGACATGCAGCAATTCTGCATACAATTCAAGATATTTAGTAGACTATAATAATAATAATAATAATTGGTTACACTTATATAGCGCTTTCCTGGACACTCCACTCAAAGTGCTTTACAGGTAATGGGGATCCCCTCCACCACCACCAGTGTGCAGCCCCACCTGGATGATGCGACGGCAGCCATAGTGCGCCAGAACGCTCACCACACATCAGCTACCAGTGGGGAGGAGAGCAGAATAATGTAGCCAATTCATAGATGGGGATTATTAGGATGCCATGATTGGTAAGGGACAATGGGAAATTTGGCCAGGACGCCGGCGTTAGACCCCTAATCTTTTCGAGATTTTTAATGACCACAGAAAGTCAGGACCTCGGTTTTACGTCTCATCCGAAGGACGGCGCCTGTTTACAGTATAGTGTCCCCGTCACTATACTGGGGCATTAGGATCCACATGGACCGCAGGGTGAGCGCCCCCTGCTGGCCCCACTAACACCTCTTCCAGCAGCAATCTCGGTTTTTCCCAGAAGGTCTCCGATCCAGGTACTGACCAGGCTCACACCTGCTTAGCTTCAGTGGGTTACCAGTTGTGAGTTGCAGGGTGATATGGCTGCTGGCTCAGACTAGAATAAATCCGACACACGGAACAGTGTGTAGAGTACAACTTGCCAAGTCACACTGCAGTTGGTGCGTCACTAGTGCATTCCAGAAGACAGAGGGGGTCTTGGATTGTTAAAGTTACTAACAAGTGGCTAAACATGTCGTGTTGAACTGTGCTCCCTTTATTTTGATTTACATGTTTGGAGTGACTGATTTTTATCTGAGTAGATGACAGTCAAAATATAAGATTAATCTCCTGTATGTATTTGTCGGGTAGTGGACATTCTTTCAGACATACAGTACTATGATCCCCTGGTAAATTTGTCCTGGTCTTATTTGACTGCCAAAAAGCAAGTGCCTGAGAAACCACAGCTCTCTGCTCATCACTCATAAATGCAGTTTCATCGCTAAATATCACAGGGCATAAGTGGTCTACATCCATAATGAATGTGGCCACTTTAGCTAATGCTGACAGGGCTTCTCCAGCCCTGCTCTAAACATCCTGATGCTGTCTCTGCAGCTGGACCATAGCAGCCCATGCTGTAAGGAGCACCAAGGCCTTCAATAGCTCACAGTCTGACTGTCAGTCATAGGACAGGTCAATCAGAAATCCTGCAGGAGCTCAGAACAAAGCACTTTTTCTTTGTGGCCATTCACAATATCATAATGTTCTTTTCTACCTTTTAAGTTGGCTGATACCATAGTACACAGTAAAAAGCAAAAGAGACAGTAGTTTAGAGTCATTATTAAAATATTAAGGGGAAAATGTCAAAACAGAAAGAATGAAAGCAAGGGGATTTTATTATAGAAAATATTCGCTTATCAGCCGATTCGGTTTAATGTTTAATCAGACACCACTGATAAGAATATATTATAAAAATCATATTATATATTCATGGATGGCAAAAAAAGTCATTAAGTAGATGCTTGTGATGTGATAACAGATAGCAAGGCAGAGTCCAGTTCCTCCTTCAAAATATAAATGGATGTTTCCCTGAGGGTCACAGCAACAACACCGAAGTTAACAGACAGAAGCTGAGTGCTGTTGTAGGATAAAAACTAAAACAGCTGTTCCGGACAACCGGTCACACTGCCAAACAAGCTTTGCTCCACACCAAGACATGGGAACAGACAGTCAAGAACAGGAAAACCAAGGCAGCAGATCCTGGTACACCACTGTCACAAACACTGAAATCCAGGCATCCAGTCACAGTATCTTCAAGGAGTGCCAAACGCCACTAAAAAACGCAAAAAGAGAAGTGATGGCTGTTGAAGACTTTGGAAACAAAACTAAGTGCAGGACCAAATCAATGATTCTGCTTTCAACACAAGGTTGCTGAGTACAGTACCCTGGATCGTTTCAAGAAACATCTGGATGATATCCTTAGATCACTTAGCTACCAGCATCCAAAAGAGTTAGATGGGCAAAAAGGCCTGCTCTCATTTGCAACCATTCTTATACAACAGACGTCTCCTAACAGGTTATGAGGCAGTGTTGTGAATACAGACTCCACAGGATCTTACAAAATAATGAGAGCCATGAGGATCCTGGACCAACAGGTAAAACAAACAGGAAGAGAGTAAATGCCAAAACAGGTCTCCTTCTTTGCCCTCATGGTCTTAGACTTAAAAACAGGTCATAAAGCCAAGGAAAACACTTTTATACTTTGTGTAGATTCCTGTTGAAGTCTTAAGTGAGTAGACCCTTCTAAGCCTCTGTTTACTTCATTCCCAGGGCTGTGGAAGACCAAAAAACAGGAAAAGCCGCAGGCCTGTCGCTTTTACTTTTAAGCTTTGGCAAGAAATGCTATTATTTCCAGCCTGTGGTGCTCCACAAGAATTTGGATGGGTTTTTCCAATTTATTTACTGGTTTGAAAATATTTACATTAGAATAAACAATCTTTTTCTTTTTAAAAGCTCTTTTTTTCATTCTCCCTCCCAGGCTAACATGCCACAGCTGTGGAGAAGCTTGACAGAATGTCAACTTGTCACAAGATGCAATGAACATTCTGAAATGTTTGCAGTGTCCTGAGGCACAGATGTGCCCTTGTGAACTACACTCTACGCATTGTCAGATTGATTGTGAAAAGCTCTAACTTAAGATATTCCTTCAACCGGGAAACGCAGACACTGTCCATTCAGCGGTGAACATGAACAAGAAAATTGCAAAGTTGCTTACCAGTTTCTTAAATCTACCTAAAACAGTGTATTGCTTTTTTTCAAAAAGCCATTTAACTTATCTTTTATGGATTCTACGTATTTACTGTTCAGGAGAGAATTTACCCTGCAAACATTCTTTAAGATATTAATATTGCTGAAACACGTGGGAAGTTTTCAGTGTTATAGTGTAGGGTAGGGTATCCATCTACACTAGTTATTTTCTACCTCACACTACATTTACAGCATTTTTTATTTTTTTCTTTAGAGAAAAAAATGTAGCAATTTAAAATGCCCTTCTAGGTATGCTGAAATCTTTTTGTGATGCTTAAAAACACTGGTGTTTTTTTTCTTGGGGAAGTAACTACAGGATAACACATAGTGCTAAGCATTTTTGAACGACGGCTAATATCATCTCAAAGGGATACCCCTTCATGAAACAACTGTGGGCTAAACCAGTGAGCTCCGTCACCTCATTTTCCCTGTAACCCAATGTAAAGAGATGTTCCAAATGCTGACCATTTTCAAT